CAGAGGACAGCTCCTTGGTGGCCCGGCCAGCCCTCTGAGGCCCCCCAGGGCCCCTGCCCTTGGCCCCAGGAAGCTGACCTCTCCGGTCAGGGTGCGAGGGAGGGGGTGTACCTGGACACTGTCCCCCCCACGTCCCCCCCGCGGTGAGACATTGGCCACCCTTGTCCCAGAGCCGGCCTCTGACACAGCCCATTATCAACTTCCAGGGACCGCAGGGCACGGCGGCTCCAGAGCGCTGCTGGGTTGGCCGGCACAGGAAGCAGCTGGGAAAGGAGACAGGGGGCCGGAGCCGGGAGACAGGGACTGGGGAGGCTGGTTCCATCCCTTAGGGGTCATGCTGAATGCTGGGAGAACTACAGATGCCGAAGAATGCAGGGTCCCCCCCCCCCAAACCCAGGGCGCCCCTTCCCCCTCCGGGTCTGCTCACAGCCTTTGGAAGCAGGAATGTCCTGGAGGGTCTTCCGCCTGCCAGTTACCTGCAAACTTTTCCTGGCCGGAATCACTGCGCCCCCGGCCCCCAAGCCACACTCAACTTGATGCCTAGAGTGGACTTGGTCAAAAACTCGTGGGCTATGCACCTAGCTCTGGAGCTGGGCACCTGGGCTGGGCATGGCGGGCTGGGCACCCGGCTGCCAGGGTCCACCCCAGCTCTGCTTCCTGCGTTGTGACCTTGAACCAGACCCTCATTCTCTCCCCCTGTCCCACCCCCCCGCCGCCTCGGTTACCCCATAAGCAACCAGAAAGGAAGAGGGTCCTGCCCCCGCCCCTGCAGCTCTGGGACTGGCCCCTAGCCCCAAGTGCTTGCGAGCACGAGCCCGGGACTCCCTAGCAGCCAACACCGAGATAAGACAGACGCTCCAACTTGCTCAAGTTCATTTGGGGAGCTGCCGGCCGGACGCACCTGGGCCTGAGCCCCGCGGGGCCAAGTCCCGGGAGATGCCCCAGCAACTCTAAAAGCTGGTTACGGGGTTTCCAGATGCGCCCTGCATCAGGGGGGGTCCCCCAAGCGAAGGACGACTTCAGAGGGAGCCAACAGGGTCCCCCTACGAACTCCGGGAGACGTGGGCGCTTCGGGGGATGCGGGCTGCGCATCTCCCAAGTCTGCGCGGCAGCGGGGCGGCACGCCGGGAGAAGCGCGGGTCCCCAACTCCGCGAGGCGCCAAACCCCGGGGTGGCGGGGATGCTCCCGTGGGGTAGGGATAGGGGTAGGGGTCGGGGGCGCGGGGCGCCTCACCTGGGGTTGCTGCGGTTCCAGTAGACAGCGTAGCGGTCCGAGTTGGCGCGGGCGGCGTCCTCGGCGCGCGCGCAGGGCGGCGGCGGCGGCAGCGGCAGCAGCAGCAGCAGCAGCGGCAGCAGCGGGCGCTGCGCGGGCGCCATGGCCCCGGTCCGGCCGCCGCCTGCCAGCCGTTTCCGCCTCCTCACCGCCGCCGCCGCCGAGCGGGGAGGACGCGGGGCGGGCGCGGGGCGGGCGCGGCGCGGCGCTTGGAGATCCCCCCCCTTCCCCGCCTCTCCAAAGCGCGCTCGACCTCGGGCGCCGAGAAGCCAGGCGGCGGCGGCGGCGGCGGGGAGGTGCCGGGCGCCGGAGGCGGCCCCGGGCACGGGAACCGGCCGCGCGCGGACGCTTGGAGCGCGGGCCGCCGCCGCACACACCGGGGAGGGGCCGGGGCTCCGGCCTTTGTCCCGCGCGAGCTCCGGGAGGGCCGCGGGCGCCCCCTCCCGCCGCGCCCGGGCCGCGCCGGGGCTGGGCTGGGGTCTCCCGCCCGCTCAGACACGGCGTGGGGAGGAGGGGACCCCCAACTCCGCAGGAGGAGGAGCCCCTTTCGCCTCCTGGACGGGAGGCCTTGTCGCCAGGGAGGGGGCATTGGAGGCTTTCATAACCGCCCCCTTCCCGCACCGTGTCCTCTGCCAAGCCCACCGTGACGGGAGGTGCAAGATGCACCCCCAGCTCCCTGGGGTCTCCACCCGCTCCCCCTATTGCTGCACACCCACACCCCACATCTGCGGGAGCCCTGTCCACTGCACCAGAAGGAAAAAGCTACAGGCTTGTGGGCGGCTGGCAGCTCAGCCCTCAGGGGCACACAGGCCCAGAACACCGGGACCTCTTGCATCTGACCCTGGCAGGCCACACACAGGAGTCTCTCCCAGTGGCTGGAACTGCAGCCTGGAGCACGCCCCCTGCTCTGCTTCTGCCCAAGCCAGGCTCTACTGCTGGGGTGCATGCTGTCACCAAGTGCTGGCTACCTCTGCCTGCCCGGGACAGTGAGTGTGTGTGTGTGTGTGTGTGTGTGTGTGTGGTGTTAGGGGACAGGGTAGTCCCCACTGTGAGGGTTCTGGAACCCCTTGGGGTATCCCTGAACCCAGTCAGTGCCACGAGATTGACCAAGGGACTTGTGCCCATGGACCCCTCTGTAGCTTGTGCCGGACGCCCCCTCCCCTACCGGCCCGCCACCCCATCTTTGCTCAGGCTGGGTCCTGTCTGGAAGCCATTGCCCGTCTCCTGTCCTGGCTTGTCTGCGGAGGCCTTGCCCCTAGGGATCGGGGTCTCAGAGCAAGGGGGTATGGGAACACTTTACATGGTGGGGGCAGGGTAGGAGTCAGCATATGGGGTCTGACTCCAGCCGAGTGTCCTGGGAGCTCCCTCCTCTGGCACCCAAGGCTGAGTGCACCCCAGCAGGCCATGCACCTGTGTGGCAGAGGCGTGGGGCCGCGTGGGCTCAGAGACCACCTTGCAAAGGCTCATTTGCATGCAGGGGCCACCGGAGTGAGCGGCGGCCGCGGCACCGCCGCCGAGCGGATTTGAGCAGAAGCTCTTCCTCTGTTCTCGTCTCACTCAAGGTCAGAGCCCGAGCAGGGACGGGAACAAAGGCGGCCGTCCCCCATTCAACCTCCCTGTGCCCGCCACTGGCCGCTCCGAGGGGCCTGGGAGAGATGGGGGCGGGCAAGTGACCTGGAGGTCTGGCCTCGGGTGATGCCACTCTGGGGGACCCCGGCTGGAGGGCTGGTGGGCGGCTGTGGGAGCTTGGGAAGCCCTACCTGCTCCTCAGCCGGATGCCCTGCCATTCAGGAGTCAGCCAGGGACATGGTCAGAGGTCAGGCTCACGTTGGGGACAAGGGTCATATAGGGTTAGGTGTCAACCCAGAACCCAGGCCCACACACACCCAGCACAGGGTCTGTGTCCCTTCCATGCAGGCGTACGATGCTGAGCTGGGGGCTCCAGCACTAAGAAGGGTCTTGGCTGGCGGAGGCCCACCCGTGGTGTCCCTGCATCTAGCACCACTTCCTGCCACAGGGCTGGGGTCAGCCTGCCAAAGTCGCGGTGCCGTGGAAGAGGCTAAGAGTATGTGGGGAGATATTGCCCATGACCAAATAAACTACCCGGAGCCACTGTCCACTCCAGAAGCCCAGCCTGGCCCCAGGGGGCACCTAGGGAGGAGGTCCTGGTGGCCAGAGGCTGCTCCCGTGTCCGCCCCAGCAGGGCAGATGATGCCCAACTGCCTCCTTCCAGCCCCCTCTGCCCTAGCATGCCTGCACAGCCCTGGGATAGCAGCTAGCTCGCTTCTGGAGCCCAGAAAACAGCGGCCACTCTCCTGCAGCCCCACGCACCCCACCACGGCCCATCACCTCCTTGCCTTGCCATGTGCCTTCAACTGCCCACCATGGACACAGCTTGGTGCCCTCATGGTGACCACCACCATCCAGGGGCCACCAGTGTCACCCCAATGCTAGGCAGAGTATTTAATGTCATTGTGTTACACTGATGTCACTGGATGGTCATTTGTGCTCCCTGTGCCATGTCACAGGATGTCGGTGTGGACGGCCACACGTGCCCCCTGCTGTGCTGTGTCACAGGATGCCAGCCTGGACAGCCACATGTGCCCCCTGCCATGCTGTGTCACAGATGGACCGTCACGTGTGCCGCCACAATCTGTGTCATGTCACACGATGTTGGCGTGGATGGGACCCCACACAGGAGCACACCCTCCCTGTGTGTAGCCACGTGGGACAGTGCTGTGGTAGCAGTGACAGATGGCTCAGACCACGTCCTGGGATCCCAGGAGGAGGTCGCGTGACCCCTGGCAGGGGCAGGGCACAGCCAGGCCTGGCCCCCGGGCCTAGGACATTGCTGTGGGTGTGGGCAGTGTCCCAAGTGGTGAGGCCGAGGGCAGGGGGAGTCCACACGTCACGTGGGGAGTCCACACGTCACGTGGTGAGTCCACGGGGACTGCAGCTCGTGCACTGTACAAACCTGAGTGCCCCTGTCCCAGGGGCGTACCCACAGAGCTGTCCTATGCTAGTGGGAACACACGGCCCACACAGGTATGCCAACATACACAGCACGCCTCACAGACCCACATACACACAAGCCCTCTACAGACTCACACAGACCCCAACACACACAGACCCTCACACACACACAGAGTCTGGCCAGGAAGCAGGGCCTTCCCTCTTGCCTCCAGAGCTCCCCGCTAATAGCGCATTAACCTTGGCAGGCGCTGCCAATGAGGCCGCCCGGCACCCGGCTCCCTGCCGGCGGCGGGCAGCGGTCTCTGCTGACCTCATTAGGGTAATTAACGGGGCCTTTGAAGCCAGCGTCGTGGCCGGGAGCTGTGGGAAGGCCTCGCGGGGCCCACTGAGGCCCGGACCAGGCACGCAGGGAGGCAGCCATGGTGTGTGCCCACGTGCAGCTGTCAGCAGCCCTGAGCGAGGTGTGAGAACGCCAGCCAGGCCAGGCTGCTGGCCCAACCGGTAGACGTGGCGCCCGCCTGCCACCTGCTGGCCGTGGCCGGTGAGAAGGCCAGCGTCTCCTGGGCTAGCCAGGCTCTGAACAGGGGCTGGGGCTGGGCCTCCTCGGAGGGCACCCCGGCCCAAGGTGGTGAAGCTGACCTCAGGGACAGGAACCTGACCCAGGGTCCCTCATGGCGCAGGACAGCCCCCTCAGCCTCAGTATGGTTAGTGAGCCAGGGTGCCTGGTGGGGTCATCACGGCGTGGGACAGGAGCGCCAGAGCTACCGCCACGTTTATTGTCCCCTGCCCACACAGCAGCCCCTCAGTCCATTGCTGTGTGACATTGGGGACAACACACTGACCATTGCGGGGAGGGGGTATCGCGTCCCCTGGGCTGGCTTCCATGCTGTCCCACGCCAAGTCCAGCGAAGCAATGTGTGTGTGAGAAGGGAGCTGAGGATGCGCCAGAGCGCTCAGCTTGACGCTCTGTGCCGAGGGTCTCGGGTCAGCCGGAGTCCTCCCAGGCCCCATGGCAACAGCATCTGGAAAGGGATGGGCAGTGTTGGGGGAGGCCGGAAGCCCCCACCAGCCCCATCGCCCCCAGGGACCCAACCCAGCCTGCTCTGTCCACCAGCAGCAGCGGGCTCTTGCACGGCCTGCTGAGCCCCCAAGGACGCGCTGACCAGGGGAGGCCCTGTGCTACCATCGTGGGTGCCTGGCTTCCAAGCCCGGCTCGTCATCACTGTCCAGCGAGGCCATCTCGGAGGCGTCCTCTGTATTGGCCAGGAGCCCGTACCTCCTGTGCTGCAGCTTCTTCAACCTGCATGGGGATCAGGGATTAGCTGTGCTGAGAGGCAGGCCCATGCCTACCTGCCCACTGCCAGGGACACATGGTGTGAGGGACAGGGTAGGGCAAGGATCGGGTGGGGAAGCGTTGGAGGTGTGAGCCGGGTGGCCCAGGTGGCCTTTTGTGGCCCAACCCTGGGGACTGGTAGTTCCGGGGAACAGCACCATCGGGGTGGATGCACATCCAAGGAGCACCGTCGGGTTGGACAGACGCTCCAGGAAGCAGCACCATCAGGGCGCATGCACACCCTGGGAGCACCACTGGGGAGCACACACACCCCGGGAGCAGCACCATCGGGGCGCACACACACCCCGGGAAGCAGCACCATGGGGCGCACACACACCCCGGGAGCAGCACCATCGGGGCGCACACACACCCCGGGAGCAGCACCATCGGGGCGCACACACACCCCGGGAAGCAGCACCATCGGGTGCACACACACCCCGGAAGCAGCACCATTCACCATCGGGTGCACACACACCCCGGGAGCAGCACCATCCACCATTGGGTGCGCACACACCCGGGAGCAGCACCATCCACCATTGGGTGCACACACACCCCGGGAGCAGCACCATCCACCATCGGGTGCACACACACCCCGGGAGCAGCACCATCCACCATTGGGTGCGCACACACCCGGGAGCAGCACCATCCACCATTGGGTGCACACACACCCCGGGAGCAGCACCATCCACCATCGGGTGCACACACACCCGGGAGCAGCACCATTCACCATTGGGTGCGCACACACCCCGGGAAGCAGCACCATTGGGTGCACACACACCCGGGAGCAGCACCATCCACCATTGGGTGCGCACACACCCCAGGGAGCAGCACCACCGGGTGCACGCACACCCCGGGCTGGCGGTGACTCTGAGGGAGCCGGGCAGCACGAGGGCGGAGCCTGCATGTCAGCTGACACACCTGAGAGCCCGGATGAGGAAGTAGAGCGCGGTCAGGCCGCCGAGCGCCACGACCACGTAGAAGGTTCGCTGCAGCGGCGAGCCGGTGGCGGCCGGCGGCCAGGCGCGCGTGGCGTTGTGCGGCACGACGGGCCGGCTCCCGTTGGCGGCGTCCGCGGCCCCGAGCGGCGCCCGCAGCAGGAGCAGCAGCAGCAGCGGCCCCATCGCCCTGTCGGCTGCTGTCACTCAGGCGCGCGGGGGCGGCGCCAGCCAATGGCGGCCGGGGGCGGGGCCGCACGCCCGGAAGTGCCCGCCCACCCCGCCGTGATGTCCACCGGGAGGGGCCGGGCGGGGACATGGCCACACCCCAGCACCTGGTCCCGCCCGGACCCGCGGCTGGGGGTGCGCTGCCCTCTGCACCCTTCCGCACCGGATCCCACAGTCCCAGGCGCTTGTCTCCCCACCCCACAGATCCCACAATCCAGGCTCCTGCTGCTGCCCCCACAGTCCTAGCCTCTCTGACCACAGTCCCAAGTTCCTGCCCCTTGCCCGGACAGCACTGTCCCAGCACCCCAATCACACGGTCCCAAGCTCCTACCCCCGACCCCAGGATCCTGTCTCCCCAACCCACAATCCCAGCCCCACTGATCCCACACTCCAGGCTCCTGTCCCCCAGGCCCCGGCCCACACACACAGAGTCCAGTTTTCTGGGTACACACATGGCCTTTATTCCAATTCAACTCCACCATCACCATTACGGCCAGCGCAGGGCTGGCCCCGGGCTGTCTTCCAGCACCCACAGAGCTCATGCAGCGCCTCCTGAGACAAGGAAGAGGAGTGAGGTGGTTGCAGAAAAGGGAGACCCCCCCCCCCACCAGTCCCATTGCCCACCCCAAGCACACACTCACCTGGCTCGGGGCCTGGAGGCCAGGCGGCTGTGCCCCATGCTGCAGGTGCAGGCCCAGTCCCTCGAGGGTCGGTCTCTCATGGGTATCCTCACCGGCCAGATCTTCAACCTGCCAAAGTGGAGCAGTGTCATGCCCAAGGCCCTCTTGGGGTCGCCACTGCCCCGGCCTCCCAGAACCGTCCACAGCGCTGGCGAGGGGCGAGGGCCAGCCGCAGGGCGTCCCTCGGGCCGCTGGCCACAAGGCCATGGGCAGACACCGCCAGGGTGGAGCTGCCCCAGGCCGGCGTGGGCACCGCAAAAAAGACTGACGACACCCATCAAGGCCTGCGCATGGGCTGCGGTCAGACCTGCAGATTGTCCATTGCGTGAGCAAAAATACCCCTGAAGCTGGCACTGGCCAGGCAGTCACCGCGCCTGCTCGAGGGCCGGGCCCGACATCGACTCGGCTCAGCTTCAAAAAGTGAGCCACAGAAAAGGGCCACCTGGAGCACAGCCCAGGGGCCTGCACGAGCGCGCGGTTACCTCGAGGCGCGGGCCACTTCTGATCCCGATCGGAGCCAGCCCATGGAGCAGCTGGCTTCTCGGGGCTGGGGGCGCCCAGCGCGTCTGTCCTCGGTGGCTGCGGCGTCCACAGGCCAGGTGCTGGGACGGGGGAGGCCCGGCAGGGCCGGTGCGCCCGGGCACGTGCGTGCAGTGTCCACTCTGCCCTGCCCTCCACGGCGTCGGGCGCCCCGTCGCCAGCTCCCGCCCGTGCCCCTCCTGCCTCCGCCGCGGCCGCGCTGCCCAGCCCTGCCTGCAGCCGCAGCGGCGTGCGGTGCGATGAAAGGGAGTGCCAAAGCGAGATTCATTTCACACGGGCTTTAATGGGCTTCGTGAAGCCGGAGACAACGGCGTACAAGAGCTCCGTGGCCGGGACCATGACCACACGGTAGGCGGCCGGCTGTTGGTGGGACAGCGAGGGCCAGCCAGTGTCCTCCGGGGCTGCTCCCCCCGGTCAGAGACAGAAGGCAACACAACAAAAAAAACCAAAGCAAAAACCCAAAAACCAAAACTGAGACAAACAAGTAAATGCCCACACGACCCCAGCTGCTCGGAGAACTCCCGGCTCTCTGCAAAAAAAAAAGCGCGAGCGCTCGCAGCGCGCAGCCGGGGGTTCGGGCGGCAGCGGTGGGCACTGGGTGAGCGGTGGCCGGGCGGAGGGCGGTCCTGAGCCCCTCTTAGTCGTGGTGTGTAGCTGAGGACAAGAAGCAGGGACAGCGTGAAGGCACCCAAGCACTGAGAGACAGCATCCACTCCCAAGGCGGCCCACCGCCTGGGAGCCCCCACCCCTGGCCAGAGCACAGACTGCCTCTGGGGCCGGCCTGGGGACAGCCAGGTCGTGGGGTCAGTGCCCCTGGAGCCCCCCTTACCGTAGCTGTCGTAGTCATCCCTGTAGGAGCCCCCAGAGCTCCGGTCTCCATAGCCGCCATGCTGACTCCGGCTGTGGGGGGACAAGACGCTGGGTCCTGCTCTGCATGCCATCACTAACCTCACCCGTCCCCAGCAAGGCGCCCCCCAGGCCTCACCTGCCATAGTAGTCTCGGTAATCCCTGGAGCCCCCACTGCGGGACTCGTAGCGACCACCTCCATAGCCTCGGTCCCCTCCTCCTGCATGGGGCAGTTCAGGAGAGCACCCATTGGCCTATGTATCACCCCCACACACACGACAGCCCAGGCGGGCACCTGCTGGCCACGACCACTGTCCCACACACAGGGCAGCCCAGGCGGGCACCTGCTGGCCACGACCACTGTCCCACACACAGGGCAGCTCAGGCGGGCACCTGCTGGCCACGACCACTGTCCCACACACAGGGCAGCCCAGGCGGGCCCCTGCTGGCCATGACCAGTGTCCCACACACAGGGCAGCCCAGGCGGGCACCTGCTGGCCACGACCACTGTCCCACACACAGGGCAGCCCAGGCGGGCCCCTGCTGGCCATGACCAGTGTCCCACACACAGGGCAGCCCAGGCGGGCACCTGCTGGCCACGACCACTGTCCCACACACAGGGCAGCTCAGGCGGGCACCTGCTGGCCACGACCACTGTCCCACACACAGGGCAGCTCAGGCGGGCACCTGCTGGCCACGACCACTGTCCCACACACAGGGCAGCCCAGGCGGGCCCCTGCTGGCCATGACCAGTGTCCCACACACAGGGCAGCCCAGGCGGGCACCTGCTGGCCACGACCACTGTCCCACACACAGGGCAGCCCAGGCGGGCACTTGCTGGCCATGACCACTGTCCCACACACAGGGCAGCCCAGGCGGGCACCTGCTGGCCTGTCCCCCACCACACACGCACTCACCTCCGGAGTAGCCGCGGCCCCGGGGCCGGCCCCCGTGGAAGAAGCCGCGGCCGCCCCGGGCCCGGCTGTCGGGCGCCTTGCCCGCCTGGTCCACGCGGATCTGCCGTCCATCTACAGACTGAACAAGGGCGGATCCGAGGGTCAGCACCGGGCGCCAGGGCCCGCAGCATCCCGCTCCCCGACCCCCATGGCCTCACCTTCCCGTTCATGGCCATCATGGCGTCCTTGGCGTCGTCGATGTTCTCGAAGGTGACGAAGCCGAAGCCCCGCGAGCGCTGCGTCTCCCGGTCCTTGACGACCACCACTGTGGGCACGGGGCGGGGTGCAGCAGTGAGACCCCTGCTCGGCGCCCCGCAGGCCCCGTCCACCCAGTCCAGCCCGCCGGGGACATCCGGGCTCACCTTCGGCGATCTGCCCGTACTTGGAGAACACCTGCTCCAGCGAGCGCTCGTTGGTGTCGAAGCTCAGCCCGCCCACAAACAGCTTCCCTTCGTCGGACGACATGGCGACCTGCGGGCGCGGGGAGAGCGGGAGCTCAGGCCCCGCCCACGAGGGGGCAGGCCCACGCCGGCGTCAGCCACGCCCAGAGGGGCAGGCCCGCACACCCATTGGCCACGTCCACGCCGGGCCCGCCCAAGAGGGCAAAACCCCGCCCACACAGCACAAGCCCACGAAGGGGCAGGGTCATTCACTCATTGGCCACGTCCACGCCGGTTCCGCCCACCACGTCGGCACTGATCCCGCCCACAGCAGGGGGCCACTTCAACAAGTGGGAACCACTGACCCCACCTACAAAAAATTGGTCACGCCCACCTGGGCCCGGACCACACAATCATTGGCCTCGTCTACCCCGGTCTCCCACCCATGGGAGGTCCGGACCGCGCACTCATTGGCCACGTCCAAGCCGGCCCCGCCTACCAAGCGCGGCGGGACCCACGGGCAGCTGCCGCGCATGCTCTCCGTGCATCCGGGGCCCCGGCTCTCCCGCCATTTCACCGGCGAGCACCCCGCTCGCCGCCGCCATTTTGCGGCAGCGGCTCCCTGTCCGGGGGGAACGCGGCGCCTACTCGGAATGTTGTTGGGATGCGGGGGGGGGGGGTGCACACGCTGGGGCCCGCCCCCCGGCCCCGTGCCCCGTTGTGCCGGGAGGCCGGCGGGGCGGGCTCACACCGACCGGGACCGCCCACCCCGGGGACGTGGGGGGCGTGTCGCGCCTCCCCGCCCGGCCGCCGCCCCGGGCTTCCTGCTAGCCGTGCCGCCGGGAGCCTCACCACCGAGTCGGGCGAGTTCCTCACGCTGACGAGCAAACGGTGCACGGCAGCGACGACAGAGCCTCCCAACGTGCGAGCGGAAGGGGGGCGGCGCCAGTGACTCGGGGTTATATACGCCGCAGCCATGCCCCGCCCACGCCGCGCCGCCATGGCCAATCCGCGCCCTCGCTAGGGGGCGGGGCCCGCGGAAAGCCCGCCCTTTCGCCGCGCGCCGACGCCGAGCACGGCGACTGGCCCTACGCGCGCGCAGGTCCCGCCTTTGTGCGTGGGGGCGTGGCCGGCGAGGCGGGGCTGACCCACTTCCGGGTTCCCGAGCGTCTGGCTGCCTCCTTCAGCCCTCTGGCCTCTTGGGGACGCTCGAAGGTCGCTGGACCCCCGGCTTTTGGTTGACCTCAGGCAGGTCCCGGGGTCCCCCACCACCAAGCGCACCTGAACCCCCATGCCGGTCCTCACACGCCCCCCAGTGCCTAGCGAGCCCCCTCCACCCCCCGCGAGACTGTGCGTGCCCTCCACCTAAGCCTGCAGGGAACCCAACTCGCACCCCAGCCATGACGTACCTGGCCACCCGCACCCCAGCACTCACCTGGGCGGGTGCTGCTGTGCGCCCCAGCGGGAGGGGCGCAGGTGACCGCCCGTGGACGCTGCGCCCCTCCGCAGCCACCCCCAGCTGAGCCGCCGCGGGGCCCCTTTACGCATCAGGTCCTAGGTGGAGGTGCAACAACTGGGGTCACTCACCCCTTTAATAGTGTCCATCTGCTGCTTGTCGGGGCCTCAGCTCACGCTGCAGCCCTGGTCCTTCCTAGAGGTCAGTGAGGACCCCCCTGGACACCCCAACCCGGGCCTCACAGCAACCCTCGGCCCACGCGCTCTCCTAGCCCTGGAGACCTCAGTGTCCACCCCCCCCCCCATCACGGCGTCACACTCAACTGCCGCCCTCCAGTGGGTCGAGCTGACCCAGCAAAGGCCGCCACGGGTGGGGACACGGGCTCCAGTGACAAGGTGGCCGCGGGACCCTCCTCCCCGCGGGCAGCCTGACTCACGGCCACCCACTCCTCGGCGCCCAGGCTCCCGTCAGTAGGAGCTGCTGCGTCAGCCACTCACGCAGAGTGGCTCTCCAAAGCGCGCAGCCTGCATCCCTGGGGATAGGGGCGCATGGGGAGGAGGGGGGCGCCCCATGACCGCTGTGCCGGCCGGGCTGCTTCCCCTTCAATCGGGGACCCCTGCAACTGACACCTCAGCTGTCGATCCGTGTTTTCGTGACCCCCTCCCCAGCTTGGACCGTGAACACGAGGGGGCCCCCTCCTTGCCAGCCTGCCACTCCGTGACCTAACATAGAAACAGGCGTGCACTGGGTGGGTGGGAGGCCCTCCCAGGACCCGACGGCCGGTGCACAAGGACGTGAGCCCTTGGCGAAACCCCCGCAACCCGCGCTCCAGCGGTGGCGGAGGAGGGGCTCAAAATAGCTGGGCCGCGCGGGGGCGAGGCTGCTATTCCGGGCCCCGCCGCGCGCGGGATGCGTGAGGCTCTGGGCTTGGCGCTTCCCCGTCTGTCCAAGGCCCCGTCGGTTCATTCACAAATCCACCCTTCCCCCCGATTCCAGGGCCGACGTGGGGAGGGGAAGGGCGCCCACCGGGAGAACCAGCCTCCTGGCATCCCTACACACCACAGCACCCACCGTCGCCTAGGAGACAGAGGCGGTGCCGCTGGCTCCCGCGCCGCCCACTCCGCCCTCCCCGCAGGGCCAAGGCCTGCCGGACGCCGAGGTCCTCCTCCGACCCGGCTAATGACCGGGCGGGAGGCGGTAATGAGCGTCTGGACCCGGGACAGGCGTGGCCCGGGATGAAAGGCGCGTGGGGGGTGGGACGCCGGGGCCGCGTAATTACCGCCCCCTCCCGGCCTGCCCGGTGCACCTGGCGGCCGCCCGGCGGGGGCGCGGAAGTAGCACAGCCCGCCCAGCTGGTCCCGACCCGCGGGGGAGCCCGGAGCCAGGGTGGCTGGGGCTTTGGGGTGGGGGGACATGCGGAGACGGCGCGTGCGTGTTGCCAGGTGTGGCGCACATGTTGTCCCCGTGGGTAACTGGGAGGTGTTGGAAAAGCTTCTGTGGACGCTTGGGAGAACCGGGTTGCTGGGCGCGGGCACCGGCGGGTGTGGGGGTGTGCACAGTTCCCAGGGAACCTCACATGGGACCCCCAAGAGCTTGGGGGCGCTGACCTGCGGGGGAGGAACCCGTGTGCTTGTCCCGGGCGCATCGTGCCACCCTGAGCCTATGTGCCCAGTCACTGCTCTGATGGGGAGGAAGAGGGGGCGGTGGTCGAGTGTGCTGCATGCCCGCAGCGGCCAGGGAGGGAGGAGGGCACTGCCCTCCGTAAGCAAGCAGGTCCCAAGACCCACGGGGGGGGGGGGACTTGCTCTCTCTCCAGGCAGGGTTTGGGGGGGGACACCCAGCTGGGCCCCAAGCTGCCCGTGACTCAGGCCCTTCCTCCCTGCATGTCTGAGTCACAGCCCAGGAATGTGGAGGCTTGGAGGCCCCGTGTGCCTGTGCTGCTGCCCAGAGCAGGGGGTGGGGGTGGGGGTAAGCCTCAGGCCTCAGCCACATGGAGACACACACGTGCTGGGCCACGTCCATGCCCACGGAGGCAGACCAGCTGAGGCCGACACGCCAGACACTGCATCCCCCTGGGTGCCCCTGCCTGGGGTTACAGCTGTTTGTACTAACCATGGCACAGGGTACAGGCCTGGGTACACTGGGCACAGGGCACATGGACACTGGGCATTCAGGAAGTGCAGGAGCCAGGCCTGGGAGCAGCCTACATGGCTGCCTGGGGGGGGGGGGGAGAGGGAGAAGCTTCTGAAACTGGGGAGGAGGTAGCCTGGGGTGACCATGCCAGGGTCCCTGCAGCACAGGCAGAGGTGACCCCAAGGTCAGGCTGCCCTAGCCGCTGGGAATGACCATGTCTCTGAAGGGTCAATGATATGTTAGGGGCCAGGCAGCAACCTCGGTTGTTCCAGCTGAGCAGTGGACACAGCTTGCCCCAAGCCCCTGGAGGCACAGCAGGGGACTGTCACCCTGTCCTGGCAGCTCCTGCACGAAGGCACCGTGTGGGATCAGAAGGAAGGGTGTCTGTATGCCTGGCTGGACTTGATGACACTGGGTACTGGGCCCTGGAAGGGTCACGCAGCAAGGTGATGGGGCTGGCTGGGCTGTGGTGTGGGCCTCCACTGATTGCACCCAGAGCAAGCGAGTGTGGGCAGGTCCTGGGTGTGGGGCGCGTGGGACGCAGGTGCAGCAGGCCCGGCTGCCGTGGGGGCAGGCCCCACCCGCATTCCAAGGCCGCAGTCGGGGTGTCCTCCCAGCGCCACCGCACCCCGTCTCCCCGACGACCTCTGGCCGGGAGCAGATCCTATTCCCAGGGAGCAGCTGGCTGCAGGGCAGGGGAGCCCCCCCCCGCACCCCACCGGTGGGAGGAAGCAGAAGTGGGGCAGCGGAGAGGCCATTGCAGACAAAAATAAAGGAAAAGAATGAAAACGGGAAGATCGACCGTGCGGGCGGAGCCAAGCACCGGTGCAGACGAGGGCGGCGGGATCCCTGCACCCCCAAGCGCCACTGGGGAGGCCGAGCGAGCGACCCCACACGTGACAGGGCTGGGTGGAGCCCCAACGCCCTGGGCCCCCGGACAGCTGGCGTCCCCAGCCTCCCAACTGGGGCACGCCCTAACCCACGGCGCCGCAGAGGAGGGTGGCGCGGCACCCAGCCCGTGCGCCCTGGGCACCCAGCCCGTGCGCCCTGGGCACCCGTGGGACCCCTCCTAGACACCCCCCACCTGGGAGGTGACCCCGAGCGGCCAGCTGGCCAGGGAAAACGGGGAAGGCGGGCTGTGGGTGCCTGGTGCGCATCCTGACTTTGGGGGGTTGGACCCCCTGTTGTGACCAGCGACTTCACGGATCTGCAGCCAACTGCGTCAGGCGGTGCGACCCCTCCCCACTTTGGGGGTGAGACCTCCCTCAGGGGTTCGCCACGTCATCTCTCGGGGCACCGGCGAGGCACGCGGGTGGGGGGCGCCCCTGCAGGCTCCCCGTTTTCGCTTGCACGCCTCCCCGTGGGACACTAGGCAGGCTCCCACTCCTCCTCAGCCGGGCTCGCCCCCGTGAGGAGCTGAGGCGTTGTGGAGGGCACCGCGGGGCGCAGGCCAGCCTGCCCGTGCCGGGGCCCACGTGCGGCGCCCCCTCTTCCGTCCAGACCCCGCGGCCGCCGTCAGGGCCCCATCGCCTGCGTCGCCCGCCCCCAAGCTGGCTGGCGCGCGGGACAGGGCAGGCTGCGCGCGTGGGGGGGTGGGCACTGCGCCGCTCCAACTGCGCGTGCGTATTCCGCTCCAGTCCCGCCCTCTAAGGGTACTCGGCGCTTTCATTGGTGCGTGCCTTTAATTGATCGGTGTGTCGGCTAATGAAAGGCTCCAGCCCTGCAACCCGCCGCGTAGGCGGAGCCTGGGCTTCAGAAAGCGGGTAGGCGGTGACGTCAGCCTCCTGGCGCGGCGCGTTGCCCGGGAAACTGTGTTTCCTCTCAGAGCGTTTCCGGAGGGGGGTGCACCGCCCCCTCCCATTCAGCTTTTTCTGGGATTCGGGAAGCGAGCCCGCCTCACCGTTTCCGGTGCCTCAGTTTACCTTTGGGGGCGCCCCTCTGGTGGCAGCGGATGGGTGACCTCAGATGCCCGTGCCCCCCAGCCCACACACAGCTCAGGCCCCGGGGCTACCGGGTGGGCAGGCGCTGACCTGGGTCAGAGGCCCGGGAGGCGACCCACCTACCTGGGGGCGTTTGTGGGAACAGGCCTGCAGGCCTGGGCTTCCAGCCATCCGCCTGGCAGCTGCGAGCAGGGCGGGATTTCAGGGTGACGTGGCCAAGAGGGGGGCGTGAGGTGCACCCTGCCCAGCGGTTTCTTGAGCTGGGGCTTCAGTATTACTCTAGGGGTGCCTGAAGCTGGAACCAAGTAAAAAGAATCCCACCCAGCCCAGGAGGCCAAGGACAGATGTTGGAGCGCGGTGCAGAGCCAAAATGCTGACCGAATCGGGCAGGCCTGTGACCAATGATCGGGCAGGCTGCTCTAGGTCCCTGGGGTTTAGCTCAGGGATACACAAATTGGGGGGCAGGGAGAAAGGACACTAGGAGGTCCCCAGGGCAGGTGGCTCCAGCCCTGCAGGCCTTCCGGGTTTGGGTACCAGGAAGTGGCCAGGCCTTTCTCCTCCACCCACCGGCTGCTTCCTGCCCCAAGCCTGGGAGGGGGGACGGGAAGTGCCTGGAGAGCTTCATCTGCTTCTCCTCCCCTTCCCAGGTCCTGGGGGGTGGTGGTGGTGGCCCGGCCCCCTCCCCAGAGGAAGAGGCTGGGACCGGTCCTGTGGTATTTTGTTTTATTACTGGAAGTTGCACTGCTGCTTCTAAGTTTCTCAATCCTGTGTTGGTACAGGAAATGCACACGGAGTGCCAGCCACCCCCCCCCAGCCCCACACCCCAAGGGGCGGGTAATGCTTTCTTGGGGTGGAGGGAGAGCCCTCACAGGCACACACAGGGTTATTTAAAAATCATTTTAAAAAAACACATTTAAATAAGTATCCAAGACAATTTCTCAAAAAAACAAACCCACCCCCTTTTTTCTTTCCTTTAAAAAAAAAAAACACAAAAAAATGAACCGAACCCTCCATCTCCATCCACTGTGACCCCTCCCTACCCACCCCCCCACACAAATGTACAGAACTCTAGGCAACACAAGTTCATTCACAAACTCCTCTAGGGCCAGACTGTGACAAACAGGTGTGGGGGGGGAACCCCAACATCCCAGGATCATTAAAAAAAAAAAAAAAAAAGGAACAGAATGTGAAGGGGGACCCACATAAAACTCCACCCCTACTGACATGGCCCCAAGTAAGGGGGGAGGGTCCCACCCCCAGGCCTGGGCACTGACTGGGGGTGGGTCCAAGTTAGACCAGCAGCGGACCCCCCTCAGGGGCTAATGCTACAGCGTGGCCCTCAGCTGGGGCCTTTCACAGCGGAGGCCGCCAGAGGCCCACCGCGCCCACCGGGGTAGGTCCCTCGGGAGACCAGCCATCTGGGTAGGCAGTGGGCAGGCGTGCCTTGCCACAATTCCTCTCCCACTTTTTCCAGATCCCCCCCCCAACCACAATGGCTCAGTTGGAAAGCTCATAGTCTTATTATATAAATAGCCGGGCCAGGCCAGGAGGGCGGGCCCCTCCTGCAGCTTCGTTTCTCCCAGGAAGGAAAGGGGACAGTGGGAAAAAAAAAAAAAAAAAACACAGAGAAAAAAAAAAAAAAAGAGGAAAAGACGCGGCTGCCACGCGGTGCTTTGGGTGGGCCCTGGCGGCCGTGGCCGGGTGCAGGCCGCTCACTGCGAGGGCCTCCCCTTTTCTGTAAAGTGCATTGTGAGGCGTGTCCGTTTCTGACTTAGAACCTGAATCAGGTGGTGGTGTTGGCGGTGTTGGTGGGACGGCAGATCGGAAGGGGTTGGGTGGGGGTGGCTTCCTGGGGTCAGCCAGCTGGGAAAGGCTGGGTGGGTGGGGAGCCTGTGGCAGGAGGCCAACTCCACAGGGAGCCACGGAGGGAGAAAGAGAGGAAGAGAAAGAGAGGGAGGGAGAGAGAGAGAGAGGCTGCCCCTTGCACGGCCCGGCCCTGGCTGGTGGGGAGGGGAGGTGTTTGAGCCTAGGCCACCACAAACTCGGACTTGATGTCCGGGTTCACTTCAGGCTTCCAGACGGAATCCTCGAAGTCCAGGCCCAGGCCAGCGGCCTCGCCGGGGCCTCCTCCGCCGCCACTGCTGCTGCTGCTGTCGCTGCGGCCGGCCTTGCGGCTGGGTGGCCAGTGGTAGGGGCCTCGGGCGTCCCGCCGGGCCTTCCTGCGCAGGCGTTTCTGCTGCAGCAGCACCTGTAGCCGTTCCACCTTGCAGCGTGTGGCCCGGTTCTCTGTCTGCCGCAGCCGGTCTCCTGTGGGGAGGAGGAGAGGGTACCGCATGGTGATCCAGCTGCCTCTCTCCAGGGTGGTGAGACAGCCAGAGGGCACCCCACCCTCTGCAGGAGGGGTCTGGCTCTAGGAATAGGACACCCTCTAGCCAGGGGGGCGGGAAGCAATGTGTAGGAATGTGGGAACCACTGGGCTCCCCCTACTTGGGGGGCCAGGCCTGACTTGGCCATTCAGAGGTGCCAGATGCCAGCTGGAGAGGGGGAGGGTCCCCAGGAGGAAGTGGGGCTGCAGTCCCCCAACCCCCCCAGCAGGAGTGCACACAAGGACACTTTGTGCCCAGCACACACACTCTCCTCTCTGGGCAGCCCTGTGGGAAAGCTGCAGCTGCCAGGGCCCTGGCGGGTCACCTGCTACCGCGGCTGTTCACAGAGGGGCTCTTGAATGACTGCGGGGGGGGCGGGGAGGGGGCTGGGCACCACCGGACCCCACTCACCCGGGGGCTTGCACATGCGGATCTGGCTCTGGCCCTGCAGCAGCGAGGAGGATGGGGGGGCGGCCGCCAGCTTCTCGCAGGAGGTAGCTTTGGGGGTGAGGTCGGGGCTGGGCGCAGTGGGCGAGCACTGCGCGTGGCAGCGGAGCTGGGTGAGCGAGGGAGGCATGCCCTGGTAGTGCCGTGTGGCGCTGAGCAAGTCGTTGAGGATCTGTAGGATGGTGCCAATGTCCCTCCGCGGCCGCCCGCTGCTGTCCTGGCAGTTGGGGTGTAACGTGCCTGTGGGGTCAAGAGGCAGTTAATACCCAAGGGGTGGCTGGCAGTCAGGCGATCCCTACCACTCAGCATGTCCTCCCATCCCTGAAGTGTCACGTACCAGAAAAGGTCCCTGAGAAGACCCCCGGGGCGTGGTTCACGAAGCTTTCAATGACAGCCCCGGGTTTGCGGGAGCGGGTGGCAGCGGCGGCGGTAGGACTGCTGCTCCCCTGGCTGGAAGAGGTGCTGGCCGCCCCAGGGCTGACGCTGCTGCTGGTGGCAACAGAGCAATCCATCTGCTGACGGGGACAGACATGCCTGTGAGCAAGCTGGGAGTGGATCCCTGGGGGTGGCCAGGGGTCACCTGGCAGCCCTCAAGCCCCCCGAATCCCCACGCAGGCCTGGCCTTACCTCGGGGCAGGAGGAGGACGCTGCGTGGGAACGGAAGGAACCGGCTGTGACGGGCGTGGGGGCAGGGCTGGCGGGCACTGGGGGGACTCGGGCAGTGCTGGACACTGGCCGGCATGGAGAGGCCACGGGGGTGCTCACGCTGGCTTCTCCACGAGCGGCAGCAGCCGCGGCGGCTGCAGCGGCCAGCACGTGGCGGTGCTGGAGCGGGGTGTGCTGGGCGGCCAGCTGCAGCTGGACAAACATCATGTGGTCCCCCACTCGCAGGGCCAGGGTCAGCGGTGAGCGGCCAGACAGGAAGTCACTAACCTGCGGAGGGAGGAGCCCTCAGCCGGCAGCCCACGGCCTCCGACAACCCCCGGCCCAGCCCGGCCCGGCCCCCCCACGCTGTGTGACCTGGGACCTCTCGCCGCCCCTCTCTGGGCTCTGGGCTCCCTGTTGGTGCCATGGACGCTTAAATAAAATGAATCTGTACTTCCGGAAACCTCCTTGGCCAGCCCGGCCTGGCCCGGGCACTGCTGGGGGCTGTGGGGGGGGGACAGAGGTGGGTCAGAGGGGGCGGGGCCAGCTGGCGGCCACTGCCCTCCAGTGAGAGCCCTGGCTGGTCACTGTCACCTCCTCCCCTGTCCCCATGTGTTTTCTCTGGGAATGGGAGGGTAGGGGACGGGCCGGTCCCAGGCCCCCTCCCAGCTAAGTCAGGGCCTGGCTGGCGAGTGGGCGGAATTCCTGGACAAATTTTTCCCTCCTAACCTTTGCTTTCTCAAGATAAATATTTATCTGTCCTGGGCGGGGCCGAGGCCAAGGGGTGGGCCTGAGGCTGCCTCAAGAAGCCCAGACCAGACACTGGAGGGGGGGGACACAGGGGAGTGTCCCCAGAGGCCAACACACCCCAGTGAACAGCTCCCCCCCCAGACACCCACTCTGGGACCTGGCCAGCATCTTGTCCTCCCCGGGGGCCGGACTGGGGGGGGTGTGGTTTCTGAGAAGTGACAGAGGTCAGTGACTCAGAGCTGGCCTCCCTGGGCTGGCAGGGCTGGCGTAACCTCCACAACCCACAGCCCACGGGGGCAGAGGAGGGGCAGCGAGCACACAGGGCGCAGTCCCCACCAAACGACCCCTGGGCCACACCAATGGCCCTTGCGGGAAGGGCGCAGGGCCGCTGCCCACAGGCAGCTGGGGTGCCCCTCCCTCCAGCTTCCTCCCTGGGGAGGAGCCATGGGCGGGTCTGACTAGGTGCCAGGCAGGGCAGCCCAGCCACCCTCCCTGTTCCTGAAGCCTTCCCTCTCCACCCCACCGCAGCCCCCCAGCTCAGCTCCTGGGACCCTCAGCTCTGCCCGCCTTCCCTGCACATGGCAGACCACCCAGCTGCAAGCCGGCAGCCCCCTCCTCCGCTTCCCCAGCGGGCTCAGCCGGGGCAGGATGCTACATGCCACCAAAGCTGCTCAGCAGGTTTCCCGGCGGCCGGCTCCCCCCACCCCGGAGGCGGCAGCGGGCGGCTGGGGCCTGCGTCACCTCCTGGGAGGGCCCAGCCGCCACCGCGAGAAAATGAGGAAGGGAGAGAGAAAAAAAAAAAACAGAAAAAAAAAAAAAGCACCAGCAAAGCAGGAACCTGGCTAGGGCCGGCCGGGAGAGACCAGGGAAGGCTGCTCAGTAGATATTCCCCTAACTTCCTGTGTGGGGCCTCCCTCCCCCGGCCAGGGCGCAGAACAAAGGACAGTGTGAGAAAGAGAGGGCACCCCCTTAAGACAGGCACACACACACACCGGACCCCTAAAGGCGGAAGGAGCGGTTCCCAGGCTGGCTTTCAGCCCCCTAGGAGGAACGTTGTCGGGAAAGGCCAACCAGAGGGTCTCAGGCGGAGGTCACCCTCCTGGGAGGTCACCACCCGCGCGTGGCCCAGTCTGCCCTGAAGGGTCAGGCGGGCTGGATGACCCGGCCGTGCTGGCGGCGACTCCAGCGCCCCACAAACTGCACGCAGGTGCCCGTCCAGCTGGGCCGTGGCCCCCCTGTAGGTGCGCAGGGGGCGAGCAGGGCCTTACCTGCGTCTCCGTGAGACTCTCCAGTGCTTGCATGACTGACTGCTCGGGCCGGGAGGCCTGGGACTGCAAGGAGAGGGGAGAGGGGCGTGAGTGCGGCTTGTGGGGCACGGCCGGGAACCCCCCCCCCAACACACACCAAAGCTCGGGTGGCGGCCAGCCCCTTTACCATGAGTCCCGCTTCCACGGTGGGCACGAGCGTCAATTTACTGCCATTCCCCACGCCCAACTCTCGCAGCTGCCCCGAACTGAGCCGGCTGGGGAGGAGAAGGCAGAGGAAGACAATGAGACTTGGGGGGGCGGGTGAGGGGACGCGGAAGCGCAGAATGCGGCGATGGGGGGTGATCAGGGAAGCCGTCCCCACCCCCGCATCAGCTTCCCACACCCCTGAGTCGGACTGCACACCTGGGAACTGAGGGGGGGAGAGACCCCATCAGGGGCGCCCATCCTGGAAGGTTCAGACCCCCTTATCCCCCAGGAACCCCAACTCTGGAGTCTGTGACACTTTTCTCACCCCCGGGCACCACGGCCCAATCTCATTTCCACCAGGCCCCTAACCCGATCGCCCCCAACAACATACAGGCCGGGGTGCCTTTCTGGGTTGCCCCTAGCCTGAGCAGAAAGGCCTCGACGGGGGCTGCGCGGGCCGGCTCCCCCTCCTCCCGGGCCCAGGCCGCCGCCGCGGTGCAGACAAAGGAGCCCCTCCCCCCGCCCCTCCCCCACGGGGCCCCTCCGCTGGGGATGGACACTGCGTGTCCCCAGAGGCCCGCGGGGAGGGAGGGAGGGAGGGAGGGCTCCCCGGCCCGGAGGCGATTTAAATACCAGGGGGGAGGGGAAGCTGCGGGGAGCGCTCCAAGGCGAGAACAAAGGGGGGCAGAGAGAGAGAGAGAGAAACACGAGGGGGGCGCCAGACGCGAGGGGGCCGCGCAGCAGATGCGGAAGCGGCACGGACGCAGGCAGAGGAGGGGCGACGGCGGGGTGCCCCCCTCCTCCGCCAGCCGCCGCTCGGACCCCCGCGCCTCCTCCCCGGGACTTCCTGCATGTCCGCGAGGGGGGCTCCCCGCGCGCGCGCCTCGCCGTTGCCTTTGTGCGGCGACCCCGGGAGGTGGGGAGGGGGGTCGCGGTGAGCGAGGCCGAGCAGAGGGCGCCCGAGAGCGCGCTGCGCGCACCCGGCGCCCCTCATCTGGCGGCCACCTCTCTCCCCCCCCCACTCCCTCCAGCCTCGGCGCGCTCTTTGTTCGCGCCCGGGGGGCCGGCGGCCCGAGCGTGGGGGCAGCGCGTGTGCGCGCGCGGGGGGTACCTACGTGTCGCGGTGCAGCAACGCCAGGCGCTCCTTGGGCACTTTGAGGCGCTGGGACAGCCGCCGGCGCAGCCCCTCCACCGTCTCGTCGGACGGCACCAACAGCTCGTAGCGGGTGCCCGTGGTGCTGTGGATGGCCAGGTTCATGGGCGCCGCCTCGGCCGCCGGGCCCAGCTCGCAGGCACCACCGGGGGTCCCTCGCCGGCAGCTCCGGGCGCCGCCGGCCTGCGGCTCCATCCCCGGGGCGCGCGCTGGGGAGAGCGAGGGGAGCTGGGTTCCTCCTCGGGGTGCTGCGGAGATCCGGGCGCTCGTATCTGCCCTTGGCGCCCCCCACACACACACACAGTCCTTTCCGGGCGGTGCTCGAGGGGTCGCGGCGGTTTCGGGGTGCGCCTTCCCGGGGGGAGGGTTGTTGGAGAGGTCAGCCCCCCCTCTAGCCTTCCGGGCCGCTTCCCCGCGCGTCCCCCTGCCTTAGCAACAGCCGCTGCCGCCGCCGCTCGGAGGATCTGGGGGTGAAAGTAACAAGAAAAAAAAGTTATAATGTATCAACGTTCCAAGGGGCGGGGCCGCCGCCCCCTCCCATTCACTACTTACTCCGCCGGCCCCGGCGCCGGCCAATCAGCCGCCGCGGACCGCCCCGTCGGCCGCGCGCCCTGGCCAATCGGGGCCTCCGCGGCGCCACCCCACGTGGCAGAATGGGGGGGGTGTCCGCCCTGCGCCCCGCCCCGGCCACTCCGGGCCCGCCCCCGCGCCCCGCCCGCCCCGCAGCCATTCATAAGAGCCCGGAGCCTCAACAAAGGGCGGCGGGCCCAGAGAGGCACGGGACCCCCAATTCGGGGTCAGGTCGTTTCCCAAGTGGCACCCTCCACCCACTCACCCACCCACCCAGGGGAGCGGCCGGGACGTGGGCAGCGGGGGTGCGGGGCGCACACGGGCCTTGCCGGCCTCGGCGCCGGGAGGAGCAGGAAGTGGTGGGGCCTCCCCGCCTCGTCCGTCCGGGAAGCGCCCGCCAGCGGAAGCGGGAGCTTGCACCACCACCCCCACTACCACCACCACTACCACTCCCGACACCCCAACACCAGTGCCGTGCGGGAATGGGGGGGGTCCCCGGACCAGGGCGCACCACGGGCTCGCACCGTGTGGATGGAGACGGAGGCTTGGGGCGGTGCGTCGTGCGCCCGGGTGACGTGGCCGCGCCCGAGCCGGTGCCACCCGGGCCTCCCTCGCTCTCCCCTCCCTGCCTGCCTGCACCCGCCCCCCCCCAGGTCGGGCTCGCTTCCCGAGACGCGCCCGCCCGAGCCGTGACGCGACGCGGCGACCCGGCTGCGCCCGCGCGCACCGCTCGGGGCCGCCGCGGTGAGTCAGCAGCCCGGGCGCGCCCCCTGCCGGCCCGGAAGTGCCGCCCGCCGGGGTCTCGGGGGTGGGGGTGGCGAGGAAGGGGTGCTCCCCGCGCGCGCGCGGACGCCCCAAGCTTAGGGGGCCGGTGAGGAACCCTGTCAGATCGCCCCAAGAGTCTGCACGCATCAGCTAGAGCCCGGCTCTCACGGACCACGAGTTCAAGGTCACTGCCGGGGAAGGGGGAGTGCCCAAGGAGTGGGGGGCGGAGCGGGGGCCGAGGTCCTTCCCCACCCTTCACACACAAAAAACCCGAGGGGCGGTGCTGAGGGGGCGGAGCCCCTCCCATCCCACACCTCCGGGGGGCTTCCTGAGGCACCCGGACTACCTGGTCTCCCCCTCAAGGCTAGGGACAAAGAAAAGTGGGGCGCCCAATCACCACCGCGCCCCTCCTCCCGACCCCGCCCCCCACTCACCGCGCCCCGGGGCGGAGGGTTGCTTCTCGGGGTCCCAGCAGTAACTGTGCCTTCGGTGGATGGAACAGGAGAGCGCTTGGGTGGCCAGGCCGGTCTGGGGCCGGACGGGCGGCCCCCGTGCCTTTATCCGCGCCTTCCTTCGGGGTGGAGCCGGGGCGGGCCAGGGGCGGGGGGCCGGGCGCGCTGACGCATTGGGGGACACCCGCCCCTGCCTGCTGGCCAGGGGCCCCAGGACACCGTCAAGCCGGGTCACTTGGCCGCCTTACTTGGCCTGCTGACCTGAGGCCACTTTAGGAATGCTGGCCAGCCAGAGGTCGCCCCGGGGCGGCACACTTCCCTCCCCCACAACTGTCACTTGAGGGGTTGGCAGCCTCACCCCCCTTCCTGCCACCCCAGACCCACCCAAGGGCTTCCGCCTCTGTGTGGGGGGACGACCAGGAAGGGAAGCCCAGAGTCACCTGCCGCGGAGTGGGGGCAGCCTGGCTTATCGGTGACCTCAGCGGGCATTTACAGGCCTGCCCGGCACAGTCAGCAGGGCGCTGTGCCCCAGCATCTGCAGGCAGTGGGGGAGTGAGGGGGCCGGCCAGGGCGCTGGCACACCCTAGTGCGTGCACATGATGCCAGATCCGCCCTGGGCTGGCAGGGTCACCTGTTTGGAGCCACCAAGCCAGGGCACGCAGTCCCCCCCTCTGGTTTGGGTCACCCCTGTGCCCTGGAGACGGGGGAAAACTCCAGGCTCCAGGCTGCGGCCACCAGCCGTCCACGTAGTAGCTGCCATCCTCTTTTATCTGGCCTGGCCACCCTGGCCCCCACCCTAGCTTCCCCTCCCACCCCGACCTAGGCACCCCAAGGAGGCAGGAGAGAAAGTGGGGTCCCCTGGGAAGGGACCTGCCCCCCCATGATGTGTCTCAAAGGCGTTGCTGGAAGCCCAGGACTGACAGTGCCGAGTGGAGGTTACCATGGATGCTAGGAGAGGGGTGCCAGGGCTTGGGGTGTATGCCGTGGGTGCCCCATGTCTCTGTGGGCTCAGGGCTGGCCAGGTGCCAGGGTCATGACCTTCGGGATTCCAGGATGGCCTGGCCAGCAGCACGTGCTGTCCCTCCTGGGGGGTGTGGCTGAGTACAGGGCGGGGTCCCCATTGTGGGGGGCCAGCCCCAGGGGTGTTAGGTGGCCAGCCCAGGGTGAAGGCAGGGAGGGGCGGGCGGCAGTATTTAGCAGGGGTTTTGTCTTGCTGGGGAGGCAGGGTGGTGGTGGTGGGGGGACTTGCTTGCCCGAATCCAGGAGGCACAGGCCCAGCTGGGCTCCACACCCCCCCAGGCTGGGCCTTGCCCTATGGAGTCACACGCATGGGACGGTGACACACAATGAGATGTCTTCTCGCCACATCAGGCCCAGGGTGGCCTGCCTGCAGCTGTCCATGTCACCGGAGCCTTCCCGCACCGCCCTGGTCTGGGCCTGTGTGTCCATGGAGCTGCCCCGCAGCCAGGCGTGCCCAGGGAGTGGCCTGCAGGTCCCCAGTGCCAGGCCTGGAGCAGAAACCCTCCAGTAACCCCTGGTGTGGTGGCCACACCCCCTCCCCGCCCATCACCGGCAGCCTGGCCCTGGCTGGCTGGCTGGCGACCTTCGCTCACTGTCCCCGCCCTCGACATCAAGGCCAGCATCCAGGCCATCCCACCCAGAACCACCCCCCATCCCCAGGCAGGTGCTGAGCCGCCTCCAGCAAATCCAAGTAACTCCAAGACCAAGGAGGGTTCCTGTCTTTTAATAGGGGCATTGGGGGGGTGGAGGTTCTCCAGGAACACACGTGATCAGGAAAGGGCGGGCTCAGGAACACACACCCCCTGCACTACTGTAGCTTGCCAAAGGGGCTGGCCGGCGGCCTGCAGGGGTCTCCCGCACCAGGGCAGACGCCCCCCTACTCCAGAGCCTTGACCAGAGCCTCGTTAGCCTCGATGCGGATCTGGATCTCAGCCCTGGCTGCCTCGTCGGCAGCCCCCGACAGCTCTGACTGCGCCTTCTCCAAGTTGGCCCTGGCAGCCTGTGGACATGGGGTGAGGCTGAGCAGGCTCCCCACTTAACCCCCCACCCACCCCGGGATTCTCCCCTGTCGCTCACCCCCGCGTCCAGCATGTCCAGCGTTACGGCCTCCTCGGCCAGCAGCTGCACGGAGGAGTCGGCATTCACAGTGACCGAGCCGCTGCTCACTGCAAGAGGGGAGGGGAGAAGGTGCAGCCCTGAAGCCGGGGCGTCCAGCGTCCAGCGGGGAGGGGGGGGCAGCATCCCCAGGCTGGCCCTGGGGCTCAGCCCATTGCACCCCAATTTCTGTGTGCAGCGGGGGACTCACCAAAGACCCTGGTCCTGGTACCGTCCTCCGCGTAGACCACCACCAGCCCTGAGGCCAGGGCGTCCAGCAGGGTGGCCTCCCATGGCTGGCTCTGGGAGCCCAGTGCTCCCCATTCCCCGTGTGCAGGGGAGGACTCACCAAAGTACTTTTCATGGTGCCATCCTCTACATGGACCACCATGTAAAGGCCAGCCGTGAGGCCAGGGTGTCCAGCAGGGTGGCCTCCCGTGACTGGCCCTGGGGTTCAGCTCATTGCACCCTGACCCCCGTGTGCAGGGGGCTCCACTTTGGGGACTCACCAAAGTACTTGGTGGTGGTGCCGTCCTCAGCGTGGACGACCACCAGCCCGGGCCGCAACACCTGCAGCGTGGGCACGTGAGATGCCAGGATGCCGAAGGCTCCGGTCAGCGTGGGCACGTCCACTTGCCGCACGTTGGCCCCGTTGAAGAAAACCTGGGGTTGGGAGAGACGGTGAGGGGGATGCAGACGGCAGCGGGATGTAGCGGGTGACCGGCCGCCCCCACCCCCACCGCCGAGGAGGCGCACCCCGAGACACGAGGGGGGACCGGGATCACCCGAAAGGCAGCAGGGTCCCGGGTTCGAGACCGCAGACGGCATTGGGGGAGTGAGTGATCCCGGGTTCGAGACTGGAGTGGGGCGAGCGAGGAGCGAACCTGCGTCGGCGAGGCGAAGGTGAAGGACATCTGGCCCGGGCCGGCGGCGGGGGCCGGGGCCGCGGCGGCGTCGGCATAGGCGCGGGCCTGGCGCAGCAGGCAGCCCAGGCGCGGGCGGCGGAGCAGCGCGGCGGCCAGCATGGCGGGTGACCGGTGAGGACGGGCGGCCTGGAGGGCGAGCAGGACGGCGCGACGCGCAGGGCCGGCCGGGAGCACGAGTTCCGGGCCAGGGCGCACGCGCGAACTACAACTCCCGTCGGACGGCGCGCGCGGGAGAGACGCAGATGTCCGACACCCGCGGCATGCTGGGGGCTGTAGTCTCCAGCACCATCCCTTCTCTGCCCGCGGGTGCGGGGCGGACCCTGATGGACAGCGCCATTCAGGAATGGCTGCATTTCCCCGCGATCTGCTCCTGAGGACGTGAGCTGTCTTTGAGGGAAGCGCACGGTGCCTGGCTCTTCATGCCGAGAGGTCAAAACATAAGAGAGCTAAACATGTTCTAAAGGCTTGGTGGAAAACAAACAGCGGGCGCGCACCGGGGGGCCAGCGCTCCGAGCGTCCATGGCGTGTCACGCACCACTGCGCACGGTTATAGAACAGGGGCGCAGCAGGTGCAGGCGTCCCCTCACCCCACACGGCCACCGTGGCTCCCTCGGCGCCGGCAGAGGGCACCCGCAGCCCGGGGATGCGCCCTGCACCCCGCAACCCCCCAGCTCGGCCGCCGCCCCCGCGCGCCGTTGACGCAGGAGCGCGCGCGGGCGGCTCGGAGCCCCGCTGACGTCAGCCGCGTCCCGCGCAGCCTCGCTCGCAGCCATGACGTCACCGCCCGGCCCCCGCGCCCAGGGAGCTCTGCAGCCCCAAGTTGGGGGGCCCTGCGCCCCCTTCCTCACCCTCAACCCAGCCCCAAGCCGGGGTGTCCTGGGGCGCAGGAACATGGAGGGTCGGGGGGTTGGGTGAGGCTCCTCGCAGGTTCTGAAGCTCGGGGCACACTGAGGGGTGGGTGGGTTGGGGTCCCACTTGCGCTGCGCCTCTCCCGTGGCTCCCCCATTCTGGACTCTGCCCCCTCACTACCAGCTTGAGCCGGTGTAGGGCCTGGGGAGCTGCAGGTGGCCCAGCGCCTGCACACTCTGCAGGCTTAATGCAGAGGGGACGCCTTGCTTGTGTTCCTGGGAGAAGTGGAGAGGGCTGGATGGGGCACCCCACACGCCACCATTCTGGAGGCCAAGCACTGGACGGTGCAGGCCACTCGCAGATATGCCGTCTGCGCACTCGGCACTGGAGCAGGCGTCAGGCCTGGACGGTACTGCTTCCTCGCCATCACCCCCTCTGGGTTCACCGAGCCCAGATGCACACCCCCACTAAGCCCTGCATCCCACACAGCCCCGGGGGTGGCTCAGGAGCTTGTCCTGTGGGAACCACAGGATGGCTAGCACGGGCTGTGCTCAGTGGCTCCCCTGTCCGCGAGGCTGCTCAGGTCCCCACCCCAGGAGAGAGGAAGGTTGAGGGCCTTGCGAGGCTAGTGAGTGGGCGGGGGACATAGCCTGCTGACCGACCAGGGGAGCCCAGCCAACAGCCCTGTGGGGTACCTGCAAATGCAGGTTGAAGTGGGTGACCAGGACATGCGCCGTGTCCTGGCCAGCGTGGTCCACTGGAGGCTTGTGCAGGTGATGGAAGGCTGACCACGTAGGTCTGGGAGAGACAAATGGGCCGGGTTGACAATCAGGTTCAGAGCTGGAGAACTGGGTTTGTATTGTGGGGGGCCACGGTTTGGTTTATTTGGCTGTGTGGTGGGGGGCAGACATGGTGCGCGCTGGCAGAGCACAGTGGGTGAGAGGAATGATGGTCTCCTGTCCACCCTGGGGAGCCTGGGAACTGCAGAAAATGCTGGGTTTGCAGAGCCTGGGAAGGAGGCACCTGCGTGCGCCCCTGGCCGTGCTGCCCTCTCCTCTAGGTTGAGCGACCCTGAGCCGGGGATGGGGTAGGGGTCAGGACTTCGTGCATCCCCCCCCAGACACACACACGCATCCCTCCCCCGCTTCCTCGCGGCGCCTCTGGGGACCAGAGCTTGCTTAGGTGAGTCGTGCCTCGGGGACCGGGGGCGGAGACACGGCCGCCGCGGGAGGGGGGCGCCCGGGAGCGCAGGCTCCGCCCCCCGCCCCCGCCGGAAGGGAAGGGGAGGCGGTGGCCGGCGCGCCAGCAGAGCCAGACGCGGCGGCGATCGCGGCGTGGGCGGCCGGCTTGGGACCGGGCGGGACCCGGTGCACCGGGAGAGCCAGGAGCGGGAGCGCCGCCAACGCGGTCACGTGCGCCCCCCCACCATTCCCGCGACGGCCTCCCCCGCGCGCAGCGCTCCCCATTCATAAATTCTCCGCCGGCCCCACGGCACCGGAGCCAGCCGGGAGCGCCGCCCGCCTGCCCGCCGCCCGCCCGCCCATGGGCCGCACGCCCCGGCGCTGAGGTAGGCGCGGCGGGCCCGGGGCTGCACGGGAGCGGACGGGAGGGGAGGGCAGGAGGGCAAGGGAGACGAGCCGGGCGTCGGGGAGCCCGCCCCGGCTCGGGACCACCGGCCGTTCCCAGGCGCGGCTGGTCGGGAGAGGGTGTCGGGTGGGCGTTCGGGGCTTGGCGCACCGGCAGGGACCCCGCCCGCATTTCTGCGCCAGCCTGTTTCCCGCTGTCAGATCGGGCGAGCGCGATGGCGCCGGGTCCTGCGTCTCCCCTCGCTGGTGAATGAGCCCCCAAGCCCGACCCCGGGTGCGGGAGCCTGCCCAAGGTGGTCCTACGCCGCCTCCTCTCCTGGCCTGTCCCCGGGAGCCCCCGCCTGGCGCCCCCAGCCCCCCGCCGCCTCTGCCCCACCCCCCTCCGGCGTGAACTCCTTTCCCGACCTACATATACGCCCCTTCCCCCAATCCCGGCGTGCGGGGCACCCCGAGTCCCGCAGCGGCTTTCCCAGGGCCGCAGTGTGCGCCGCTGAGCTGAGTGGGCTTAGGGACGCAGGGAGATGGGGGTGCCGCAGCCCAGCCCTGCCCACCCCTCGCGCGCGCGCGCGCGCGCGTGCCAGACGGACCCTGCAGCACTACCCTAGCCGTGCGGCGCGGGCATTCCCTGGTCCGCCTCGCCGGGCCCCGGCCGGGCGTTGGCACAGGGTCCCACACAGCTTCCCGGCAGCCCCTCCCCTGAGCTGGGAGACCACCCCAGGCCCGGTCCGGGGCGCGCAGGCCGGCAGCCATCTTGCGGCGCGCCCGCCCCTGCAGGAGGCCTCCCGCCCCACGCCGCGCCCCCTCCCCCGCGCTCCCTGGCAACCCGCTGCGGCCCCGCTCGGCTCGGTCGCCATGGGAACCGGGAGCCGGAGCGCCCGCCTCGCCTCTGTCCTCACCCCTCCTACCAGCGGCAGAAGGGGGGCGTCCTTCACCTCGGGTGGTGACACCCAGGATCGCCAACCCCCACCCACCTCAGGGTGCAAGCAAATTGCTTCCCCCTGCGCAGGGATCCAGTGAAATCTGGGCTCTCGGCCTCAGTTTCCCCATTACCCCCCTCCTCCAGGGATGGGAGGGGTACTCTCCCCTGGCTGGGCGGGGCTTCCTTGCTGTCTGCGCTACCTTGCGGGGCCGGCTATACCGGCTGTGAACGCAAATGCGCACACACGCGTGGACACGCATGCCCACTGCTGCCACTTGCTCCCTTATAAAGCCAGGCAGCTGGGGGGAAGCGCTGGCGCCAGCTGCAGCCAGAAGTGGCCACCTGAGCAGAGAGGGGGGAGCTGCCCGCCCCCTCTCCGCACCCCTCCCCCAACCGCTGCCCTGCACCGGGGAGGGAAGACAGAAGACGGGCTTGCTCCAGGGGCGCGGGAGGGGAGGACCAGAACTGAGCAGGCCGTCTCTTCCCCGCAGTCCCATCCTCCCAGCCTCAAAATGCAGCCCACAGCCACCATGGCCACCGCGGCCACCACCGCAGCCACTGTCGCCCTGACGGCCTCCTGGGACAACGTCACTAGCCGTCCCACGGTGGGTGACGGGGTGGGAAATGGAGTGTCTTTGGCGGGGGAGAAACGGGACTGGCCGGCTGGACGGCTGACACCTGCCCCGCTGCTGTGGTACCCTGCAGGCCGAACCCGACCCCATCCTGGACAACTACGTGCTGCTCGTTGTGGTGATGTCGCTCTTCGTCGGTGGTACCCTGGTGGTGCTCTCCGGGGTCCTGCTGCTGTGCAAACGCTGCTGGGAGGTGCATCAGCGCTTCAACAGGTGCGCGCTCAGCAGGTGCACTGCGGTGGGCGGCGTCTGCGCATGCGGGTCTGCGTGTGCGCGCAGCAGGGGGCTGGGGACTGGCTACCCCGGGAAGGGCGCGTGTGTGCTGAGCCCGTGCCCGCCTCTGCCCTCCCTCCGCAGGGCCATGGAGGAGGCGGAAAAGACCACCACCACCTACCTTGACAACGGCACCCACCCGGCCCAAGGTGAGGCGCCCGGCCCGGCCCGCCGGCCCTCCCGGCCCCCCGCGCGCCCCTCGGCCACTCGCCTGCCCCCTCGGGCCGCCTGACCGTCCGTGTCTGTCTGTCTCCCCCACCAGACTGGGCGAAGCTCGATTCCGACTCATCTCTGTTCCCTTAACGCCCAGGCGTAGGTGCGCACAGGCGCGTGCTGAGCGAGTGAGTGTGTGAGCGCATGAGCGAGTGCCCGCCGCCCCGCGTCGTCCGCCCGCGCCCCTCCTGCCCACCGGCCCGCCCAGGACCAGGCTCGGCCCACCCGGGGCCCACCCTCTCTTGGCTCTCCTCGCAGACCCCGATCGCAGGGGGGAGGACCCCGAGGGCCAGGACGCGGAGACGGAACACTTCTTGTCGGCCAGCTCCACCGGCCGCAGGGTCTCCTTCAACGAGGCCGCCCTGTTCGAGCAAAGCCGGAAAACGCAGGACAAGGGCCGCCGGTGAGGGAGGGGCTGGGTGGGCAGGCGCTGGCCGGTGGGCGGGCCGAAGCTGGCCAGTGGGCGGGCCGAAGCTGACCAGTGGGCGGGCCAGAGTAGGCTGGTGGGCGGGCCGAAGCTGACCAGTGGGTGGGTCCAGTGCTGGCCATTGGGCAGGACTGAAGCTGACTGGTGGGTGGGTCCTGTGCTGGCCATTGGGCAGGACTGAATCTGGCCAGTGGGCGTGGCCAGGACTGACCGGTGGGTGGGACGGTGCTGGCCAGTGGGCAGAGCTGAGCCCCGCCCCAGCGCCTGGACCCTCAAGCCCGGCCATCTGCAGGTACACCCTGACCGAGGGGGACTTTCACCACCTGAAGAACGCACGCCTCACGCACCTGCACCTGCCACCCCTGAAAATCGTCACCATCCACGAGTGTGACTCGGCTGAGGCCAGCTCGGCCGCAGCCCCCCACCCCACCACCTCCCCCAAGGCCAGCCTGGCCATATTCGAGGTACCCATTGGGGGTGCTGGGGTGAGGGGGCGGGTGGCTGAGCCCAGTGTCCTGGCCTCACCCCTCTGTGCCCTTTGACCTGTCACTGCTTCCTTCCCCCACCGGCTCTGTCCCACAGCCCCCGGGGAAGGCCCTCACTGGCCGCTCCCTGGGCCCCAGCTCCGCCTTGCCAGGTGACCCCTACAACCCCGCGGTGGGCACGGCCGACTTCACGGAGCGCAGCCCCTCGGCATCCAGTGACTCTGGGGAAGGCACCTCGGTGAGGGGGCTCCCATGGTTGGACATCTTACATCTCACCCCTACTAGGACAGGAGAATTTGGGGCATCACAGGACTTCTGTGGGCAGAGCAGAGTGGCCAGTATCTGGCTGGGAGGGGCAGGGCTGGCTGCAGTGGGTGCTTGCAGGTCCAGGAGGCAGGGATGCGAGTGCCATTTGCTGTTCTGTCTTGTCTAGCTGGATGCAGGCACCCGAAGCGTCAAGACTGGCGGGCCTGGGCCCTCAACAGGGTCAGGGGAGGCAGGCACTGTCCTGCAGTTCTTCAGTCGCCTGCGCCGCCATGCCAGCCTGGATGGGGCCAGCCCCTACTTCAAGGTCAAGAAATGGAAGCTGGAAGCGAGCCAGAGGGCGTCCAGCCTGGACACCAGGGGTGAGTGAGCCCTAAGTCTCCAGGGTGCGGGGGGCTGTGCCATCAGCCCCCTTGACTGGCGAGCATTGCCCTGTAGCCCAGGTCAACAGGATGACCTTGGAGCCATTTCCCCTGCATCTGGGGGCTGTAGCCAGCCTGTGAATGCACAGCTGTGGCTGTGTTCCAATGAAACTTTATGTGCAACAGACGTGGGGGGGGGGTGTGCGCTGGGTTGTGCTGTCCCCTGGAAGACACAGCCGGTTCTGTCACCAAGAGAAGCCTTTGAGAATTGGACAGGAGAGGGGACATAAGGGAAGGTCCTGGCTTGTGTGGGCAGCCAGTGGGTGACTATGGCTTGGGGACTGGCCGTGGCCCATGCAGCCCATCTTGTTCCCTCCAAGCATGGGCTGGGCGCCTTGGTGGTGGTAACTGTGATGTTTTGGGGGGCCTGAGCTGACCGGCAGGGCTTCCCACCCCCACACCTCCAGCTAGGAGCACATCTTATTCACGGGGAGCCTCGCTATCCCCGCCCCCCGCCAGGGGAGCTGACGAGCTCACCTCTGTACAGGTTCCCCCAAGCGGCACCACTTCCAGCGGCAGCGGGCAGCCAGTGAGAGCGTGGAGCAGGAGGGGGGCTCCCCTGATGCCGACTTCATCCACTCCATCGTGGTGGCCTATCCGCCCCCCCGCCCCTTCCCGGCCAGCCCCACCAGCCCGTCCCCCACTCTCGGCAGGTATTTTTCCGTAGATGGAAGTGCTAGGGGTGGACCCGTGGGCCCCTGCCCCACGCCGTCCCCCCTAGGCGGCCCAGGGAGTGAGCTCCCAGGGCCTGTGCTCACTGCCCGTACACCATGGCGGCCGGCCTGCTGGGACCCGAGGAGGGACGCAGGGACACTGGGTAAGGGAGGGGGGCCAACAGGGCCCGGGACCACCACGTCTGTGTAGGGTCCTTTACTGCCCAGGCACCAGGGAATGGATGCCCCCTCTCGCACCACCCTCTCCAAGCCCCTTGTCTGGTTCGCCAGGTACAGTGGTGCCTTCTGTGGGGCAATCCCCTGCCTGGGCAGGGCGGGTGCTGTCAGGATCCTTATCAGGGCCAAGTCACGGCTGGACCCAGATTGACCCAATTCATCCCTCTTAGAGGGCAAGTTCAGGGTCAGGGAGTGGCCATCTGACCTTCCAGCAGGTGCGGGGGGGGGGGGTGGAGGGCATGAAGACCCCTGCTGGAAGGGAAGGGGATGGGCGCTGACTTGACCTGACCTGGTTGCAGGTTAGAGGCTGCTGAGGCGGGAGCAGCGAGCCCCGAGTCCCCCCCAGAGCGCGGCGGCTGCGGGAGCAGCGCGGGGTCTGAAGCGCAGCAGCCAGAATCGGATGTGGAGCGGGACGCGGGCCCGGAGCAGGCGCAGAGCAGCTACCGCGACTTGTGGAGCCTGCGCGCCTCGCTTGAGCTGCACGCGGCCGCCTCGGACCACAGCAGCAGCGGGAATGACCGCGACTCGGTGCGCAGCGGCGACAGCTCCGGCTCCGGCTCGGGGGGCACGGCACCGGCCTTCCCGCCGCCTTCACCGCCCCCACCGCCGCGGGCCAAGGACGGCGAGGCGCGCCGGCTGCTGCAGATGGACAGCGGCTACGCCAGCATCGAGGGCCGTGGCGCGGGCGATGACACGGAACCGCCTGCTCCCACGGCTCCGCTAAGCCCACGCGCCTGGCCCCGCCGCCCGCGCCGCGACTACAGCATCGATGAGAAGACCGATGCACTCTTCCATGAGTTTCTGCGCCACGACCCGCATTTTGACGACACACCCGTGGCTGTGCGCCACCGCGCCCGGGTGCACCCGCACGCACGCAAGCAGTGGCAGCAGCGTGGCCGGCAGCACAGCGATCCTGGAGCCCGCGCGGCCCAGGCCCCCGGCGCGCCACGGCCTGCACGTGCGCCCCTGCGCCGCGGCGACAGTGTCGACTGCCCGCCAGATGGCCGTGCGCTGGGCAGCGCGAGCGACGAGTCCGCCATCCCCGTCATCGAGGAGGAGCCGGGCGGCGGCGGTGGAGGCGGTGGCTCCGGCCTGGGCGTGGAGTCCCCGGAGGTGCTGCTGGACAAGCTGGCGGGCGACCTGGGGGACAGACTCTTCCCGCCGCTGCTTGCTGCCACCGTCGCTGGGTCCCCCGCCCCAGCCCTGGTTACCGCCGCCCCCACGTCTCCCGACCACAGCCCGGCCTAAGCCGCTGCTTCCCCAGCCCAAGCCACCTCGCCACAGCTTCCCGGGCACCGCGCGGGGCCTCGCCCCCGAGCCCAGCTCCGGCTGTGGACGCCCTCGCACTGGGCTGGCGCGCGCACACTAGCTCCTGGCCTCGGCCCGACCGCAGAGACACCAGGAGGTGCCCACCTCCGTGCCCCTGGACTGGCCGCCAGACAGTGGCCCTACTGCTTGGGGCCACCATGGGCAGGCAGCTCCAGGCGCGCACTTGCAGGTGCCATGTTGTGGGTCTGGAGCGCGTGCACACAGCCTCTGCTGCGGGCCAGCCGTCCCGCACAGGTGCATGCGCGACCCGCGTGGGTGAGGACCATGGGCCGCCGAGGGCTGGGGACGAGCCCGTCACCCCACTACAGCCAAGCCGTTTACCTCACCACGGTCTGTGCTCGGGCCTTCGCGCCATGCCCCGCTCTTGCTGGCCGTCCGTGTCTGCGTCCCCTGCCGCCTTCAGCATGTACGGCGGCCACACCCCGCCCTGGCCCATCCCACACGCAGGAGCAGCCTGGGCAGCCCCTGTGTCAGAGACTTGAAAAAACCCCACACGGCCAAGGTTTCCAAGCTTTATTTATTGCCAAAAGATGGACGGCCCCGCCTACCCACCCTGCGCTTTGCGCCAGACCCCACACCGCCCAGTGGTGGGTTCGTTGTGTCTGTTTTCCCGTTGGCCATAAACATCTACTGCATACTCCGGCCTTCTCGTGTTCCTTCAGCCCAGGGTCCCGGCAGCCCGGGGGAGGGGGCAGGGTGGCCACTCAGGACCCAGCCAGCAAGGTGCCCCACCTACTTCCCCAGGATCCCAGACACCCTCTCACAACCACAGCTCAAATCCACCTGTTTTTATTTTTTTTTTTCTTAAAAAACAAAACAAAAAAGGAACCAACCATCCAACCGGCAGGCAGCCGCGGGGCTGCCCCAGGCGCGGCAGCACGCACGCAGGACTGGTCCCCTGCGCCATGCCCACGCCCACAGCCCAGTAGTCTCCACGTAAAGTGCATCGCGCGCCTGGGGGAGGCTCAGGCAGGATTGCAAAGTGAGCAAGTCATGTCCACTGCCAGCCCGCAGGCATGGCACGGCCCACAGGGGGCAGTCGGCCCACAGGCATCGCACAGCCCGTCTCAGCCGCTGCTCGGCCTGGGCCGGCAGGAAGACGAGGGCCCGTGCCTGGGCACCTGGCGGGTTTCCTGGAGGCAGCTGTGGGACAGAATAGGGCAGTCACTGGGGCAGCCACAGCCCCCCACACTGCAGTGTCCACCTGCTGTCCAACTGGGGAGTGGGCCAAGGACCCCGCCACTCCGTGCCCTGGGGTGGGGGGATTTGTGAGCCCCCCCATGCCCACTGACACCCGCATGTGGCTCACCTGCAGGCGGGCCCTCACTGCTGCTTGCAGGCGGACAGTCGGCGGGTCTTGCTGCTGGTGGTGCAGGCCTTGCGGGCCGGGGCGGGGGCCCTCCCTCTGCTGCCCAGCTGTGCTGACTCGGTGCCGTTCATGCACAAGGCCTTGGGCAGCCCCCGGCTCTGTCCGTTCTGGCCGACCTCCTCCGCTGGGACCTGCCCTGGGAGGAAGCCCAGGTGGGGCCTGAGCAGAAGGCCACCCCAAACCCGCCAGGCACCCAGCTACTTCCCTCCAGCAGCTGCCCAGGGACATCCCTGCCCTACGCTGGCACTGGCCCTGGCCCCTAGAAGGGCCTAGTCTCCTGGGCGGCGACCTGGTCCAAGGCCAGTCGAAGCGTCTGTAGAGGCTGCAGCCTACACAGTGAGGCACAGGCCATCCTGTGCAGCATCAGACCCAGCTCCAGGCCTGGGCGCTCACCTGTGGAGTGGGCCGGGGGCCTGCCTGCTGCTGCCCTCACTGCACACCTCAGCTGAGCTGTGGGGTGCAGGGGGGCCCCGGACCTCCCTCATGGGCCCCAGAGCCCTCAGGGCACACAAAGCAATGAGGCACGGGACCTGGGTGCCAGGCCTTGGCCTGTGCAAGGGAGGGGAGGGGTCAGCTGGGATGTGTCCCGCTCGCAGTGCTGGGAGCCACAGTGGAGTTTACAGGGTCCCAGCTGAAGGACCAAGAGCTGCGCAAAGCGCGGCTCCACCTGGTTAGGCCGGGCCTTTCTCCCCAGACCCCCACACTGGGCAGCTTCCTGCAGCACCACCCCGCTGGCTCCCTTCCCAGGACACGCCCGGCCCAGCCCCTCAGGAAGCAGGTGCGCAGTCAGAACCCAGGGGCCTCCAGGGTCGCCCCAGCCCTCCCTGCACTAGGAACCGGGTGGACAGGAAACCCTCAGCCACAGTCACAGGGAGCAAAGCTTTATGGCGACAAAGGGGCCGGGACGCCCAGAGCGGGCGGGGCTAGTGTGCGGCCCCCTCGCCGGGGAGGGCGGGGCTCGGGCTCTTCTGCGCATGCGCCTCCTCGCTAAGCCCCGCCTCCGCGGCCTCCTCACCACCTGGGGAAGCAAGCGGGGAGGGGTCAACAGGGCGGGGCCAGGCAGGTGAGGGCGGGGCCAGGCAGAGCAGAGGGCGGGGTCAGCAGGACCAGGGAGGGGAGGAGCCAGGCGCGGGGCAGGGATGGAGGGGCGGGGCAATGCGGCGCTGAGGGCGGGGTCAGCAGGACCAGGGAGGGGAGGAGCCAGGCGCGGGGCGGGGACGGAGGGGCGGGGCAATGCGGCGCTGAGGGCGGGGTCTGAGAGGGGCGAGGCCAGGCAGAGCAGAGTGGGGGTCGGCGGCCCCACAGGGCACTGATGGGGGCTCGGCGGCCGGAGGGAGGCCCCCCAGCCCAGGCTCCGCGCCCTGTCCTGCCCTCGGGAGTCTCCCACCTGCTCCTGAGGGCCGGGGCTCGGGCGCCGGCGGGCCGCAGACTCACCGGGCACGGTGAATTCCTGAGTGTAGATGATGTCCTCTTCGAGGTCGAAGCGCTCCCCGTCGGGGTCCTCGCCGGCGCCCCCGTGCAGGTCCTCCAGGTAGGGCACCACGGTCATGCTGCGCCAGCGGTCCTTGGTGTCCGGGCTGGGCGGGATGGGCACAAGCGCCTCGGCCACGGGGTGCTTCTTCCGGAACCAGCTGCGGAGGCCGGGGTATGGAGGCCGTCAGGACACGGGACCCTCTGCCCCGCAGCCCACCTGGCCCTTGCGGGCTGCGCTGCCTTCACCCCAGCCTAGGGCCCACCAGCAGCCCAACACTTCCGGCGGGCGGCCATGCCCTCAAGCCCTGGACAGCTGCCTGGCCCATCCCTGCCACAGTCAGGAGGTGCAGGGACCCCAAAGGACTCTCAAGGACCTTCTGCAAACAGGCCTGGGACCAGGACTGCGGTGTCGCAAGGAAAGCCACAGCCTGCGGTGCCAGCATCCCACAGGGGAACAGATTCGTGTCCTGGCAGCTCCACTTCCCATCCAGCTCCCTGCCTGTGGCCTGGGAAAGCAGTCAAGGACAGCCTAAAGCCTTGGGACCCTGCACCCGCGTGGGAGACCCGGAAGACACTCCTGGCTCCTGGCTTTGGATCTGCTCAGCTCCAGCTGTTGTGACTACTTGGCGAGTGGACCAGTGGATGCAAGATGCCTGTCCCACCCCCTCAGACAACTGAATATATCTAGAAAATAACTAAGAGACGCTGCCCGACTGTCCCCACTCAGGTGGCCTGGGCCTCGGCTGGAAGCCTCTAGAGGCCCAGGGAGTCTCTCCCGGGACCTGCCTGGCCGCACACGCTGCAGCCATCTGGAGAGTCCATAAGAAAGGAAATGGGGGCTCACTGCCCACACCGGCCCTTGGACACCGAGCAGGACCCCCCGCCGGGAGGCAGCAGCAGGGGCCCACTCCCCATGCACCTGTGCTGCCGGATTTGCCGGATGGAAAACCGCTTTGCCGGCTCGTACTCCAGCATTCCTGTGTGAAACACGGACACGGTTAAGTGCTGGGCCCGGCCCCGTGCCCCGGGGAGGGCAACCGCACAGCAGGCAGCCCCACCTTTCAGCAGGTCCGAGAGCGGGGGGCCACAGTCACCAGGGATCGTGTAGTCGCCCTTGCCAATGTTCTCGAAGAGCTTATAGATGTTGTCACCCTCGAACGGGTACAGGCCCGTGGTGATGTTGTAGCTGCCGCCCAGCGAGGAGAGACATGCTCAGCTGTCAGCTGCCGCCCTGCTCCCCGCTGCCCACCTCGGCTGAATGCCCAGGGCCCTGCCCTCCCCTCAGCGGCGGGGATTCCCTGGGGTGAGGAGAAGGTTCTGGAACTGGGGTCAGGGGGTAGAAACTAGTCTGCTTCTACTCCCACTGCCAGAGGGAGACCACGCTGCCCCCCAACACCACACATACGTCGGATTCCATGGCTGCCCAGTCACAGCCCAGAGCTCTCACAGCTGCTCAGTGTGGCCCCCGCCCCGAGGCGTCCAGGCTGGCACTTACAGCGTGACACCAGCAGACCAGATGTCCACCTTGAAGCCGGAGAAGGTGTCCAGGCCATTGGCGATCTCGGGTGGCTGGAAGGCCGGGGAGCCCTGGCTTGTCCTGCATGTGTCGTCCGCGGCAAAGGGGGGCAGGGCCTGTGGCAGGGCCATGCAGCCTTCAGGGGGCGCTGACCCACAGACGGGCCGCCCCAGCCCTCCCCTGGCCCAGGGCCTACCTCAGCGACCCCCAGGTCGGAGATCTTGAGGGTCCCACTGGTGGTGAGCAGCAGATTGCCTGGCTTGATGTCCTTATGCACGATGCCCTGGCCGTGCAGGTACTCCAAGCCGTCGATGAGCTGGCAGAAGTACCTGCACGGGCACATGCGTCCACCACCTCGGCCCAGCGCACCCAATCCACAGCTGGGGCCCCCGAGACCCACGGCTGCCCTGCCCCCGGGGGACACTGACCCGTGGGCCTGGCACACGGGGAAGCGCTTCTCAGGAACACTGTCCAGCATCTCCTGCATGCCGCACACGCAGTACTCCATCACCATATACGTGGGGCGCTAAGGAAACACGGCCCGGCGCCTGTCTGGGAGCACCCCACCTCCCCCACACTCCCCTGGGGCCTCCCACCTGGGGACCCGCTTCCCCCCATGCCCTCTGTGGCAGGATATATCTTTTGCTTCTCCTCGCTGCACAGCACGTCCACCAGCCGGATGACATTGCGGTGCCGCAGCCGCCTCAGCAGCTGGATCTCCCTGGGCAGGGGCCGGGCATGAGGGGTCCGTCAGCAACCCCACACCACCGCACACAGCCGGCTAGCTGGCCAGCTCCACGTGCCCAGGGCCCAGGGCACCTCCCAGCACCAGTGCACACACGCATAGGACGCCTGCCACGGGTTCCCAGGGCTCAGCGGTCAGACTGCAGGTAGTGGCTGCACAGAGCCGGCAGCCTCGGGGCGCAGGTGGGGCCAGGAGGTGAGAGGGGCTGGAAACAGCAGGTGGGTGGGTACCCCACAACATCTATGCCACGGTTAACCCACCAGCTCCATTCGGGGCCACAAAGCACATGAACACGGGCTCCCCCTCATGGAGCACACGGGTTCCTCCCACCCCAGGAACAACTACTCTAGGGACAAGGTGATAGAACATTCTGGAACCTTCAAAGCTGCTGTACCGCTGCTCCTCCAGACCTGTTAGATATGTAAATCACACTCCATAGATGTATTTTAGGAAAAAGTCCTCGCAAGTACAAGTACAAGACAAAGGAAGTGGACCCAGCCTCTCACCAAGGCTTCCTTGTCCAGGAAGCCCGCCCTGAGTGCCCACACTCTAAGCCTGAGCCACAGCCACGGATGACAGAAGCTGGGTGGCCGTGTGGCCAGGGCATAAGAGGCCCTCGGACAGGCAGGACCGGGTGCACAGGAGCCAGGTAGGAGGGCGCAGCCAGGCTGCTGTGTGGATGCCAGGGCTGCTGCTCCCAGCAGGGCAGCAGTGGGTTATTTCTGGAGCAGCCGGAGGCCTGGCGGGCACCCAGGCTGCTTCTGTGCCAGCACACCCCCAATGCAATGCCCCCCGGCAGGGCCGCCAGCAGCTCTGGCCCACCCAGGGGCGGTGGCGGGGGGGGGGGGACACTGCTCCAGGCACTTCCCCACTGTGGCCCCAGAGCTACTCCAGGGGCACCCAGGAGACAAGCCAAGGACCTAGGAATGGGGTCTGCACATGGCCTCCTTGGGTGGGGAAAAAAGGTGGAGCTGCCTGTGCTGCCAGGCTGGAGGGCGATTGAGCCCCTCCACCTGCTGCAACCCCACGGCAGCCTGGCTCCGTGGTCAGCTGCGGGCAAGCGCCAAGGTCACTGGTGCCAGCGAGGGTGCCAATCCAGCCACAGGGAGCCCTGGGCCAAGGCCACTGAGGCCTGAGCAGACCGACCCCTGCCCCCGCCAGCCCTGCTCCCCACACGCCCAGTGTGACTTCAGGCTGGGCCAGGATGCCCCACCACGCCCAGCGTCACCCCGACCTCTGACCTCAGCACAGGCCTGGCACGCCTGGCTCCTCAGGGCAGTGGCCCTGCTGGGGGAGGGGTAGGTGGTTGCACAGTGCCCACACACGACTTTTGGTGGTTACTGCAGAACTGGGGCCAAAGCCCCCCATGAACATGTCAGCCCAGGACAAACCGGTTCCCATGCCCAGGACTCAGCTGCCCTGATTCTGACCCTGCTCCCCAGCGCCCCAACACAGGAGGAGGCACAGAGAGAGCCAGCCCTGGGGTGCCCGTCAGAAACGCCGCAGGTGGGCGGGCAGGTGGCCTCGGTGTGCACAGGGGCTTGCTGGGGCAGCAGAGTATGAGGGGGCGGTCACTCCAACTCACAGGGAACCCAGCATTGCAGCACCACAAGGAGACTAGAGACGGGGGTGGGGGCTTAGGGTGGTCCTGTGCTGAAGGTTACCCCCCATACACTTCAAAAGGGCACCCACGCAGCCGTGAACCACACGCTCTCCCTCTGTGGCCTTAGGGGTGGCTGGGAACACACAGGAGCTTTGGACCGAGCCGAGTGACAGGGTTAGGGGTGAGGTCCCCGCCCCAGCAGGTGGCTCAGGCAGGAAGCCACACATTCCTCCTTGCAGCGGCCTTACATCCTGACCCACTGGGCAGTTGAGGCCCGGGGTCCTCGCACCGGGGCTGGAGGCCGGTCCTGGCCGCCTCTCAGAGCACGTCGGGTCACCACGGGCACACAGCCCTTTTAGGGGGTCCTGCCACTTTACAAGCCGGGCATGGGGAATTCTACCCACATGAAGGCTGAGGCAGGCTGGGGCCTCTTCCCAGGGGAGCTCTGACCCGCTTCACCTAGAGCTCCAGGGGCAGGACATGTCAGCCCGCCAGTCTTCCTTCTGGAACTTTCCAGGCAGACGGCAACTACACAGCTTTGCACGCGCACAGAGTGACAAGACAGACAAAGTGGTCGCGGCTGCCAGGACCATACCAGCACCCACAGCATCTCAGAAAGCTCACACCCATACCCACAGAAAGCTCTGACACACCTTCAAAATGGGGTTCCCAGCGCCAGGCGCCTGTCCGGGGCAGTCCCGTTCCCCCAGGACGTGGGCAGTACCTGCACTGTGACATGGCTGCAGGATGCACGGGGCTCGGCAGAGGAGCTGGGCCCGGAGCTACCACCCGCCACTGCCCCACCTGCTCCACTCGTGTGCCAGCACTGCTCCCCAAGTCTGGCACACACTCTCCTGGCCTTAGTGTGCAGTCCACATGGGAGACCTAGGTGCCAGTCTGGCTCCAGCTCCTGCCAGGTGCTACCCCAGGTGCTGGGCATCCTGCCACCCACGGGGGAAACCTGAAGGGGGTCATGACTCCATGCCAGCGGCTGTGGGCACTTGGGGCACGCACCTGACTGTGCCCAATTCAGCCTCCGTGTTGCTGTTTCCATCGGGCACACAGCCCATGCTCAGACCCTGTCCAGCACTGAGTCCTCCGTGGGCCCACCAGCTCCTGAGCCACGCCAGACAGACACCCACCCAAGGTGCCTGGCCAAAGCCTGGTGCCTCAATGCAGCTCCCGGAAGCCCTGGACCAGGCCGACGCGTTAGCAGACCCCTGGCCCACGTGACAGCACCACTCCAGCCCCAGAGCTCAGTGAGAGGAGTGGCATGCCAAGAGCTGAGCAGTGAGGGGCTGCAGTCCCAGATGGGGACCCTCTGAGCTCCCCACCCACCAGCTCCGCAAAGGGCAAAGGACAGCTAAGCACAGAGCACACCTCCAGGGCTTGGGACAACTGCGACCTGGCCACCTGACTGCCTGGCACCTTGGCCACGGTCCTATACAATTTCTGGTGCCTCCAGGCTCAGCCATGCCCAAGCCGGGCCACCCAACACCCTGAGAACAAAGACCAGGAGCAGGACCTGACATCCTACCATCCCTACCTGCTGGCTGCTTCCGGTACATTAGACCCCTGTACACCGACCGGCCCCACTCCTGACCCTACACCCTACACACTGACAGGCCCCATTGCTGGCCCTACAACCTTACACACCAACAGGCCCCACTCCTGGCCCTGCACCCTGCACACCGACAAGCCCCACTCCTGGCCCAACCTACCTCCTGCACACAGACCAGCCCCGATCCTGGCCCGACCCCCTTGCACACTGACCGACCCCCTGCACACCAACTGTCCCCTCTCCAACGCCTGCCACAGTAGCCCGACCAGACCGGACGTGAACCGGTAGCGTCACCACGCTGCTGGCGGGAGGGAGCCAGCGGCCAGGAAGGAAGGTGAGAGCGGATGTCAGTCTGGTGGCCCAAGGTCAGCGTCCTGCGGTGCCAGGGCGGGAGGCCCCCCCTACGCCACCACCCCCCCTACGCCGCCATCCTGGCGTCCAGCCAGTGGAGATCTCCCCCTTCCCTGGCAAGGGGGCAAGGCGTGGTGCTGTGGGCAGCAGGCCAGCACAGGGCGGGCGGGCAGGCCGGGTGGCAGCGATAAGGAGGCCTGGCCAGGAAGGGGGCCGGGGTGGGGGGGTGGCAGCACAGGGAGGAAACCTCAGCTGCCACTGATCGCGGCAACACAACCGGTTCCCCTCACTGCGCCCTGCCCCCTGCTCTGGGGAGGACCTCAGGGGTCTCCAGGTGGGGGTGCCCCCCACTTCTGAGGCCCAGTCGGCCGCTGCCTTGCGCGCACGGGATGTTTGTTTTGGTCAGTCCGGAAGGCCGGCCAGGTGGCCCGGCTGGCCCCACTCGCTGTTTGGGGGAGACTCCCCCACACACACACACACACACGCCGGCGACCCCCTGCGCCCCACTCACTTCTTGACGTTGGCTTCCCCGTTGGGAATCCGTCGCAGCTTTTTCTTCTTGAGGATCTTGACGGCGCGCCGGCACAGCGTCTCCGAGTCCAGCACCTCCTTCACCTTGCCGTACGAGCCCTCGCCCAGCAGGTCCCCCATCAGGTACTTGCCGATGAGTTTGGCCCGCTTGCGCCGGGGCTGGTAGATGACCTCGGTGGAGTCGATGCGGTGGATGAAGGCGTCCATGGCCACCGACATGAGCTCGTCCTCGGCGAACACGCCCAGCTCCTGCGCGTCCACCACCTCCATCCCCGGTGCCGGCTGCCGCCACCACCGCCACCTGCACCGCCTCTCCTCCTCGGCTGCCCAAGTTCTCAAAACACACACACACACACACACCCCAAAATTTAAAAAAAAAAAAAAAAAAAAGGATCCCAAACCACAAGAAAAGTAAAAAGGACACAGGCCACGTAGACCTCACGACACACGCGTGGGGAAAGAAGAAGGACTGTCCACTTGGCCGCCGGCGGGGAGGCCTCAGCGCCGGGCCGGGGCCGCTCGTCCTCCGCGGGGGCCCTGGGGAGGCCGGCGGGGTCCGCGGCGCCGGGCCATGGTGCAGGGGGCGAGCTCAGGCGCGCGGGCAGCCGCGGGCAGCGTCCTCCGGGCCGGCCATGGCCCCCCGCGCGCTCCTCGCCGGCCCGGGCTGGGTGCGAGAGAGGAGACACACAAGCAGCGGCGCGACCCTCAGCCGAGCCCGCCCGGAGCCCCCTCGCCGCGGCCGCCGCGCGTGTGCAGGAGGCGGGGCGGCGAGGGGGACGAGCCCTGCCCAGGCCAGGCCGCCCTCCGCCACCCTCCGCCGCCGCCCCGCGCCTCACGGCCGGTCGCCCCGGGCCGCCTCCCCGCCCCGCGCCCCACACGCCGCCGCCATCTTGTTTACCTCCCTCCCCCCCCTCCCCGCGACGCCGCCGCCGCCGCCGTTGCCGTGCGCAGGACACGCCCCCGTCGCGGGGCGCCGACGTGTCCTGCCATTGGCTGAGCCCTAAGGCGACCCGCCTCCTGGCCGCCTCTGATTGGGCCGTTTGGATCCGGGGCGGGCAGTCGGCCCGCGAATGGGCCTGCGCTCGGTCCCGCCCCCGCCCGAGGGGTGGGACCACCTCTTTCATTGGTGGACGCAGCCGCCTGTCACGGCGAAGGGGCGGGACGGGCTCGGACCGCCGCGACGGTGACCTCCGAGACTTTGTGGGGAGCTGTGGGGTCGGAGGTCACCGGTGCCAACGGTTTCCGTGGAACGGCTGTGGGGTCCCTGCCGGGTCGTGGGGTTGGGGGGCCGCGCGGCTCGGAGCCAACCCACCAGGACCGCTTCCCCCCAGAATCCTTCCGTGGGGCTGAGGTCAAAGGTCAGAAAGTGCCCCAAAGTTGGCCACTGCTGGGGGGGTGGAGGGGAATCGCAAAAAATAAAGAAATATATCCTCGAAGCATCTATGGGGCCGGGGATGAAAACAGGTGAAAAAGAGTTGGGGGCGGGGGAAGTGGAGCAGTCGAGACTCGAACCGGCGGCTCTATGGGATGCTAGCACTGCCAGGTGTTCCACAGCCCTGGCAGAGGGACAGAGCCGGCATCCCACCCAGGCGCAGACCCCATCCATGGGACCCTTCTGAGGGAAGCCGGCCAGGGGTCTGGGTCACCTGCAGCCCCCTCACCTAGCTGAGTCCCAGCTCAGCCAGGTAACAGATCCTCTCCAATAAAAAGTCTTGAAGTCTTCCAGGTTTTTTGTTTGTTTGTTTGTTTGTTTCTGGTTCACAAAGCCAGGGGCCGAGCTGCGGGGGGCGGGGGGGGATCCAATCGTGTCTGGCCACCCTACTGGCCCCATTCTGTCCTCTTCCCTATCCAGGACAGAGAAGGATGGAGAAGAGACCCGGGTCTACACTGGCAGCCACAAGGGGGCAGACATGGACTGTAGTGCAGCTCCCCTGGGTGCAGCAACCGCAGGGCTGGGAGCTGCAGGCGGAGGGACGCTAGCCAGCGGGTGAACGGCTCCGGGTATGCATGCCCACTGGGGGCGGTGCCTCAGATGGTCCCCAGCTCCCCTGTGGTGTCAGCCTGCGGTTGGGACTTGTCACGCCCGGTATCCGATAGAACGGGGATCCTAGGCGGCCACACCCTGGGTCTCTGCCCTGTCCTCCTGCTACCTGCTTGCCAGGGTGGACTGGCCAGCCCAGGGGATTGGGCTGCCCTGCTGCGTCCCCAGGGTGCGTGTGAGCAGGGGGTTGGCATTAGGAATGCCACCCAGACATCCTTGCAGTCGCCCACCGGCCAGCTGTCCTGTGGGGGAAGCCGGGTGATACAGCCTGCCAGGAGGATATTGCAACTGAGCCCCTGCTCATCGACCAGTAGCCCTTGCTGCCCCACCCCGCCTGTGGTCTGCAGTCCAGCTGGGGTTACACTTCCACCTGACCCAAGCTGGGCGTCACTTGGTATGGTATGGTGCTGCTAGAAAAGCTCTCATCCCACAGCTGACTGCAACATCCCCTGGGACCACATGGCTCCATCCTGGCCCATATTCCTATGGTCTCCGCTTTGCTAGACACATCCTGTCCCTGAAGCCCTCACCCTCTCTGTGTGTCTGTGTGCTCCAGAGCCTGGAGTCCTCACCCCACCTCTAGGGCCCCTTCCCTGCTCCTGGCTGCACAGCCCTCTGTTGGAAGGGCCACATTGTGACATTGTAACCATTGTGGAAATCTTGACTGTAGCTGCTTATGATATGGTTAATGCTAGAGACCTCTTTGTTGATCTGAAAAACACAAGTTGCAAAGAGAAAGAGAGAAGGGAGAGCTCGCATTCCAAACAGCTGGGATGGGCAGGGCTGGGTCAGGCACAAGCCAGGTGCTCCATCCAGGTCTTCCCTATGGCAGGGCCCGAGCGCTTCCCCAGGCACACCAACAGGGGGCTGGACCAGAAGTGAGACAGCTCTGTAGGCTTCTGAGATGTGATGCTGATGTTGCAAGCAGCAATTAAACTCAAAGCATAATTACTTATTATTGGGAAGGCAGATTTACAGAGAGAAAAGAAAGATCTTCCAGCCGCTGGTTCACTCTCCAAATGGCTACAATGGCCGCAGCTGAGCTGATCCAAAGCCAGGAGCCAGGAGCATCTCCTGGTTCTGCCACACTGGGCCATCCATCCTAGACTGTTTTTCCAGGGAGCTGGAAGGGGAACAGCCAGGATATGAACCAATGCCCATATGAAACACCGCTGCTGCAGGCAGAGGAAAAACCTGAGTCACAGCCTTGGCTTCAATACTACTTTATTACAAAGTTGTCATATTGTAACACCTGCTGCAAATGCTTGGCACACACTGACATCTGCCCAGTGGCCACAGAAACCCGCTCAGCACAGCCCTCCCAGTCCCAATTCCACATCCTCCTTGGCTCACATCCCACCTGCTGGTCAACCTCGCTGGCCTGGGGGTGGGGGAGCAGAGTGCCCCCATCTCCAGGCCAGCCCCTCTGCCCCCAGCCTTTCACTGGGAGTGGAGAACCATCCCGGAGGAAGGCAGTCCAGCTCTGGGAAGTTCTGTAAATGCCTCCAGCGCCCGAGTTGGTGGGGGGCGGGGGTGACTCTGGCCACACTGGTGTTTAGGGCCCTGGGATGAGTCAGCCTAGAGGCTCCTGTGGCTCTGGAATTTCCCTCGAGGCTGGGCAGGGGGTCCAAGGTGAAGGTTCAGGAAGTCCCCGTACAGGTCACCACAGGGCCCAGATGGCCATGGGCACACCCAGGATGGACACCTCAGGGATCCTGGCCTGAGCTGTCCTGCAGGGGGTGCTGTGCCAGGCATTGCTGCTTCCCAGTGTGGCCGCATCCTTGGGGTTGCCTGGCTGGCCACCACCCTACTCAAGGCAGGTGTATCTGCTGCTTCACTTTGTGCCTAGGCAGAGCTGGGTTCAGCTGAAGCCGGGAGCCTAGGTCCATCCGGGTCTTCCACATGGGTGCAGGAGCCCAAGCACCTGGGCTGTCCTCCACTGCTTTCCCATGCGCATCAGGATGGAGCTGGAGGGGAAGGGGAAAAGCCAGGACTCGAACCGGGGCCCTCAAGGGTAGCTATGAGGCAGGCTGCGGCTTTGCCTGTTGCTCCCAGATGAGCCAGTGCCTTGGTTTGGTTCACAGATGGCCACAGTCCAGCCCTGCCTGCCCCATCCAGGCCAGTGTACCCTCTGTCAGTGGCTGGCTTTCTCCACATTTCCCTTCTGGGTGGATGGCTGCTCCCTTCAGGGTACAGTCCAGCCTCAGGGGCTGCGGAGCAGGCAGGAGACCGTCCATCCCAGAACCACCTGATCCTGTTCTTGTCCAACAGGTTTGCCGCTCCAGGCAGGGTCTGGAACTGGCCCCAGCACACCTGGGGGCAGATAGCAGGTGAGCCCTGCCAGTGGCTGGGACTGGGCACCAGGGTAGCTAGTGGGGGCAGTAGACAGACAAGGGAGCCATGAAGCACAGTGGGCAATGCTGCCTCAGTTTCTCCTCTATCCAGGGGTGGTGTGGACTGGGAGGGGGTGGAGAGGAAAGAGCTGGATGGGAAACCAAAGAGGCCTGGGAAGCGGGAGGGGGGTGGTAGGCACAGAGGAAGTGGGTGTGGAATGCAGAAGTAGCCAGGGGCTGGGGAACAGGGCTCCCGCGGTGCTTGGGAACACAGGGACTTTCCAGACTGTGGGGAAATGGGAAGTGGCCCCGCCCCAGCCTGCCCCGCCTCCGGAGGGCTCACCTGCCCAGGTCCCTGGTCTGTGCCAGGGCCTGCCTAGTGGGCATCAGGGACCTCCCCTCCTGTGGGCTGACAGGGTTGAAGTGGGTTCAGCCTCTATCCTGCCTCGTAGGGGGGTACCCTGAGGTTGGCGGGAGGGCGAGCGCCCTGAGGGAGGACCCTGGTGGCCCTCCTGGTGGAAGCGACAAGTATCTGTACAGCAGGTTGGGCCTTGGCTTACTAGGCCTGCCGCCCGGCCTCACACTTGCCATTATCAGGGCCCGGCACCTGCTCCCTGGGACACTCACAGCCTGAGACAAGCCTGTGCTGAAGCAGCAGGGGTGGGGAATAATGGAGCGATCTCACAGAACTGAGCCTGAACTTGAATCAGGAGCCCCGGTGTTTCATGTCCACATCCAAAGCCTGCCTGTAAAAGCATCTCCCTGCCACAGGAGCCAAGACTCAGGGTGTCCAGGGAGTCCCTTTGCCCTGCCTGTCGAGCTCGAGCTCCTACCTCAGCTGCACCTGTTCGGCGGAAGGGTACCCACCTCCAAGGGTCTTGGTTTGAGTCCCAGCGCTGGCTCCTGACCCCAGCTCCCTCCTGAGATGTACTCGGGGGGCAGTAGGTGACTACTAAAGCACTGCCACTCAGACAGGAGACCCCGACAGAATTCCTGGCCCCTGGCTTCTGTCTGCCCCAGCTCTGACTGCTGTGGGTTATTTCCCAAGCGCCTTAACAAGGAGCTGGGTGGGAACCGGAGCAGCTGAGACTCGAACTGGTGCCCCTGTGGACTCAAAGCAGCCTTGCAGTCATCATGGCCATCAGCAGCCGCAATCCCGGGTGGGGTAGTCGAAGCATGGGGTGGTTTCGTGCCTGAGCCTGGGGGCCCTGAGCAGGCGGCAGCACGGTGGTATGTCAAGGCTGTGCTGGCTCCTAAAGCCAGCTCCTGTCATTCCCTGGAAATCCCCAAATCTGACTAATGCCCTAGACATTCCGGACGCGGCCGGGCCCACCCTGGCCAGGGCCAACTGCCCCCGAGAAGTCAGCGAAGAGAACACTGGCTCGTCCCTC